TCCTGCAATTCCCTCACATTGCGAGGGGGTAGCGTGGCAGCACGAATTTGGTTTTCCAAGTAAGACCACAAATGCTCTATTGGATTAAGGTCAGGTGAATTTAGGGGTCAAGACATGACTTGAAAGTCACTGGAATGCTCCTCGAACCAATCCATGACGATTCGACCCTTATGACATGCTACGACCTTCCCCCTCAGAAAAAACTGTTGCCATGAATGGGTGAACCTGGTCTGCAACTATGTTCAAGTAGCTTACAGACGTCAGAGATTGTTCTATGAGGATTATGGGTCCTAATGTGATCCATGAAAACATTGTTCCTGGGCGAGAAACCATGAAAACCTGGGCGAGCCCATTGTTATAGGTGGAGGGTGGTCATAATGTAATGGCTCTTCGGTGTATATGTTCAATATCAGTGGATTAAAACATTCACTAAAAATTCGAAGGTTTGAAAATTATAGAACGTTGATGTACCAATATTAAGTTAATGATTTAATTACTCAAAACAAAAAATTCGAAAACTGTTTTAATGCTAGTGGATTAAGGTACCGATAAAAAGATAGCTCCCGTATAGGACAAAAGAGACTGGTTTTAATAATTGAAGTAGTTACAGAAGGTTCGCATATAGATGAAAAAATGGGTTCAAGTCTTTAGCTAAAAGGTGTAAGTTCCAGTCTCAATCGAAAGATTTTGATTTTTTCAGTTTTCGAGTTTACTTTCTATCTATGTCAGTAGATTCTGCTATAATTTTCTCAGTTTTCAAGATTCCTCTTCTTTGATGAATACTCGAACTCAAAACATTTTTCTCCATACTTGAACTCTCTATTATTTGGTCCTGTTTTCAAAACTAGTCTCTCTTAACAAATATCACCATGTTTTATCGGCACTCGAACTCGTTATCCGTAGAACAATCTTTTTCGATTACCATTCCCTACTATTATATCGGTACTCAAATTAGACATAATCATATCAGACATTTATCAATTTTCAGAATCAATGTTTCTAATCAATTCTCGAATCCAATATCCTTTCTTAGGTAATCGCACACGCTATCATTTGAGTAAATTATGATCATTTTCAATAAATAAACTTGGAATCCCACTATTTTTGTCTCCATGCATACACGAATCAGCTATTATTTGATCAGTTTTCAAATTCAATCATCATTTAATTAATATTTAAACCAAATTTATTTTTTGATTGATTCTCCCAGCTGCTAGCATTTGAACATTTTCCGAAACCTATATGTTTTAATCAACATTCGAACCCAATCAATTTCGGGAAATCATGACAATTATGGATCCTTTATTTCATTACCCACAGCCTGATGGTGGTATTTTAATCAGCATTACGCATTAACCGCCTTTACTTCTCAGTCGAGCTGGGATAAATTGAGTTGGTGGGCTTAAAAACATCGGGGAGCGAACCGCGGTTCTCCCCGAAGACAGCTTAATGCCTTAATTCTCTGGAACATAGTGACTTTCTTAACAGTGTCCAAGAAAAGATTTTAAAAATGGTCAGTAAACAAATAGTGTTTAGAGAAAAAAATGAGCCTACGATATCTGTTTCAAAGATATAAGTTCTTTTTTTTTTAAAGTTAATAAAATTTGTCTTAGCCATCCTTCTTATTTTGTTTTTCCTTCTTTCTTACGACAGGTAAACACTTGAAGGCAAAATCAAAAACCTTGATTTCTAGTTCAAATATTACCTGAAACATGTTTAGGTTATAAATTATTTTATCGGTCGGGAATGATGGACGAAAATAAATACCGACATTTTCTGATGGATTAGCGTAGGGAAAGAGAATACGAGATATTGGTTTCACGCTAAGGAATTCTGAGTGACACGCACTGCAGTGCTGGAAAAAAGCATTAAGTCGCTGATGAAAGTGATAAAACTTAATACTAAAGGACTTACAGTTAGTAAAAAAAAAGTTATCACCCTGAATAACTTTCATTCTAATAATCTTTCACGAACTATGTGTCAATCTTAATGGTTCCTGGGAGTGACCTCAAATATGCTAATAAATTAGTTCTAACTATTAATTAAGTTACGAAATCAGACACAAAAACGTTTTTTCTCTGAATAATTTTTTTTTTACATATTTGGAATTCAGACACTTGAATTAGTGGAGGGGGGGGGGTAAACAAAATTTTAAGAAAATTGGGTCGCAATAAAGGTTTATATATTTGGCGATAGTCCAGAAAAAGTCGCCAGCGCTAATTAAATATTTTAAGATAACACATTGACTAATTCAAAAAAAGAATGCTTAATTTTACTAGGTTGCTAAGCAACCAACCTCTGACTGTAAAAAAATTGAAATAATGTTCCGTGATGGCTCGGAGAGGTTTAATTAATAACTTATAGAAAATATCTCGAAGTTTCTACGCAACAAACAATTTTTAAGCTGATTTCTGTCCGAAAAGCAAAATTTTTTTTATTTTAATCTCATTTGAAAAGAAAATTTTAATCGATTTATTAAATATTTATGATTTTCAAAGTTTTTAGAATTTAAATACATGAAGTTTTTATCTGATATCATGTTGTTTTTGCTATATTTATTCGAGGATTTCAAACTGAAATCAAATAAACATAACTTATTATGGCTATATACAAAATTTTAGTGATAATCGTTTTTACAGCTTTATCGAGTCTTCTAGACAAGAAAGTTTGAAGGAAAAAAAGTACTAGAAAAATAAAATATATCTTGTATAGTAATTCTAATGCACATTCACAAAGTTTCTTATAATTTACGATATTTTTTTCTATAAATGAAGGAATTGCTGAATGTATAGTGGTATTTTAAAAACATTGAAATATGTTATGTTTAAGAATAAGATGTTGAAATAATATGTTGCAAATTGTATGATTCATTATGCTAGATATTTAGGTTACAAGGTTTTCTTTGGATAAAGACGATTAGCAAATAACATCCTCATGTTTCGATACATTCCGAAACTTGTGTTCACAAATTCACCATAAAATGTCGCACTGCAGATTCTTCAATTTCGATAAGCTACATTTACCCCCAAATACTGCTACTATGACTTTTTTTTCCTTACATATATCTGATACGATACTATGACACATTTTTCTAAAATAAGCAGAAGAAATTGTTTCTTTAGTCTGTGTTTCATACGCATTAAAAAAACACTGATCTTTAAAAAATTTCAAAGAAATTATTTTTACAACATGAATTAATATCAAGGTTATTTTATATAGAAGTATTAAAAAAGAGCACTCAGGAATATCCAAAACTCTAAAAAGTAATAATATTTTTTACAAAAATAATAATTTTCTACATATTAATTGCAAAAGCAGATTTCCAAAAAACTATTTTACGCTTGTTTAATCAAAGACATTACCTAGGTTTTCAAACTTTCGTAACAAGTAATATATTTAAGTAGGAACTTCATATTTGTTTTTAAATTTATCCTCTTTCTTCTATGATATGTTGACTATTTATGATGGATAAAAAAGATCGAGAAATCGAAAGGGAAATTTCAATGAACACTTTTAAATTTATTTATTTAAAAAACTTTACCTTTTTATTATTTTCAAAATTTTCTGATAAATCATATATTTTTATGGGAACTTCAAGCATGTCTCTAATTAAATCGCCTTTCTACTTTTCTAGGTTTTGTCGTTTAACTTACTTATTATTGTCTAAAGGATGTCCATCGAGGTTCTTAATTAATTAGGCAGATCGTAATTAACAACATTTTATTAACATAAACAACAACAATAGTAAAAGACAGAGCGCCGCATTAAAGCGACCGTATTAATTAGCTCGTACATATCATNAGTAGCTACTAGGATTACATTATACAGTAATAAAAGAAATACTAGGTTACTAATAGTAAAACCTAGTATTTCTTTTATGAAATAATTTAAATGACAAAGGTTAAGTTATCTGGAATGTCAATTTATCCGAGGGTACTGCATTTTTTAAATGAATCAAATATGACGACGTTAGCCAGTTCCACAATCAAGCCAATGATTTACAGAGGTTTCTGCACAGAAATCTAAAAGGGGTTTTCCATTTAGGTAGATATTCATAATTGCGTTTAACGCTTCTTATTTAAGACCAGTACGTAATGTGCTTTTTTGTAAGTTCATTGCTGAAAAGCCTCTTTCAGCCGGTGCAGTACTACCAGAGAAAACATCGATTCCATCATGCGCAGTATGTAGCTGTATTTCTAGATTAGAGAGCCATTTTAGAAGTGAGGCGCTGGGCTCTAGTAAGGTAACAAAAATGGAAAATGTATCACGAACATTAACGGTAAAATGGCCGTCCGCGCGGACGGCGGATTCGAGAAATTTGTTGTTCGCGGGGAATTTTTGACCGCCGAGGACGGGCGGTTTTTCGAGCCCTGTCGTACATATCATCTGATGACGTAGGTGGAAGCGTTACGTAATTCTTTTCGCATGTGCGCGTCTTATATAATCTTTAATTTCTCTTAATTCTCCGCAGGTTTCTTCTATTTATGATGGGTGAAAAAGATCTGAAGATCAATTTTGAAGTGCAAAAGTTATTAAAGCTGCTAACGAAATCTGGAAATGCAATAATGCACCAATTCATGCAATACGATGCAACAAATCAAAGACGTACTTACAGAAATATTTTAATAGCAATAGAAAATTCCTTTGAAATCAATGATGAAGTGAGCTTTAAGGAATTATCCAGTATTTTGGCATTACTGACTGATGTAAGCATTTTCCCCAATTTAATTTCTTGCTTTCATTATGATGATAATCCCTTTAAATTGACTAATGTTGTTATTTTGGCTTGTAAACACAACCGATTAGAAAACTTGAACCAAATGTTCAGTGATGATTCTTCGATTATCAGTGATCTCTCCACAAAAGTTGATGCACCTTTTCCTCTGCCTGCCGATAATGATGAAGAAGGTCACAATGCATTTTATTATGCGGTGCGTTCAGGAAATACAAACCTTCTTGAAGTTTTAATGAAGAAGTGGCCATTGGATTATTTTTCATCACACACCCAAGAACTGTGCTCTCTCCTGACGAAAAGCTTGGATGAGTTATTGCTGAAAAATGCCGATGTGTCAACCGAAATGAAAATATATGTACATAGTTTTTTGCTAGACAACTACTTTGAGCAAGTCATTCCATCAGACTCAATTGATTATTCTCACGATGATATCCAAGAAAGTTTGTCACTTATTTTGGAGTATAGTGGTTTAGTTCAAGCAATGTATGGACACAGCGAATCAAAGTATCTAACAGTTTTCTTAGTGAAACAAATAGCCCAGAATATAATGTTATCCAAAAAATGGCTGAAATCTACATATGACAGAATTCCTTGGGAAGAAATGGAATTTCACTTAATTTCCTTCATCCGGTATCTGAGTAATCAAGGAAGTTACATCAACTGTTTTGTAACAGAGAATGACTTGGTGAAATATCTTAGTAATTTTTGTGAGTGTCTGAACAGTGAAATCAAAGAAATTAATCATATGGACAAAGAATCGTTAAGTAAGCTTCCTGAGAAAATAAATCGTGATGATGTGGTAAGCCGCATCATTTCGAAATATCCATATTTCAAAGAATTTTACTTAAATTATGGGGTAATTCGTGATTATGAATCTCTCAATATTATTAAGAAATATGTCGACGTAGTGACTGAAGTGAACAGTCTTGAAAATGGCGGAAAAACTGTCATCATTAGAGCATTGCAAGTTTTGGGAGAGAATTTTAAAAATACTCTGGAATCGCCTAAACTCTCAAGCGCCACAAACGATTTTTTGATGCTGTTCATACCAAACAAAACAAATACTATTCTGAAATTTTTGAGAGACTCTTTTTCGCATGGTTTTCCTTTGTCAACTTGTAAAGTTATTGAAGAACATTACGGTCCTGAGTTTTACACATTTGTTCAGAATGATGTGAAAAGTTTAAGTTATGCTGTAACTTCAGTTCTCCAGAAAATAAAGTTTCAAACTGTCAGATATTTGCTAAAAAGAATTTGCAATTGCAAAGACATTTTTGAATACAAAGACATTACTCGTATGATTCGACCTGTATATTTTGAGAATGATGTAACAGATATTTTACTAAGTAACGACAATACAGTAATTACTGTATTAAAAAAATTAATTGCTGACTTAAGTGAAATTGTAAAAGGAAAAACACATTTTGAAGAGAGTATATTTTCCGAAATAGCAGATATAATTAGTTTTGAAAAGAGTTTTCTAGATAAGTCCAGACTTGAGTTGGAGTTCTATCTTAACTTGCTATATAATTCATCGGTCCCTGACAGTATATTGAATAGTTACACAATTTCTGAGAAAAAGAAGAAAATTAAGCACATGCTAAATGGTATAAACCCTGTAATGGTTCCAGAAAGCTTAACAAGAATAGGATATTTAACTGATGAAATTTTAAAGCATATTTTGTATAAAGAAGATGAGCAAGACATGTCAAATATCTATTCTATAATTTTGAAAATATTTTACATTACTGAATGTCAAGGAGATGAAATCAAACACTTACAGGAACTCAAGAAAAATTTTACGAAGACTAAAAAAATAACTATTGGTAGTATCAGAGAAATAAAAAAATCATCAACAACGTCTTATCAAGATGTCTTGTCAGATGATATTACTTCTTTAAGAAAAATAGTACGTAAACATAATTTATCTGAATTTAACACAGAATCATTTTTCATCTATAAAAATGATTTCAAAATGCAAGTAGAAATTGAAATGCTTATATTATCAATTTTGTCTAGCTTAGAACATTCGAATCTTTTTTTGATAACAACTCAGCTATCTAACGAAGAGGGTCCACTATTAGTTGGCAGATATCTGAGGAATTATCTAGCTCATGGGAATCCTCTCATGGAAGTTTTAATGGATTCCACTCAATCAATATTTTTATTTGCTTTGAAGATTATCAAGCATGATATTTATCAAAAAGGAAATTTTACAAAAAAACGCATAAAGAATCTATTGAATGCAAAATCTATTGTAGAAAATCAAGGAAAACTGTTTTGTGCTTTGTCTAACGGCTCCTTAGCTGATGTGAAACATTGGATGAAAGAAGGAGCTGATATCTACGGAAGGAATCCTGACATGAAAACAGCTTTACATTATGCTTCAAAATCTTCTAACATTAATATTATCAAGTTCTTGATAGATCGCGGATTAAATCCAAAGGCCAAAGATGTTAATGATATAAATATTCTTCACTTAGCTGCTGCATCAGGATGTAAAGATGCAGTTTCTTATATTATAGAAGATTTGGAAGTATCAGTTGATGAAAAATGTAAGCAAAATAAAACAGCTCTTCATATTGCAGCAGAAAATGGGTTTTTCGATGTCGTTGAAATTTTACTTAATCACAAGGCTACAATTAACGTTGATCAGTTTCTTGGGACACCACTGTACAAAGCTGTAATAAACAATAGAGTGAAAACTGCGGAATTATTACTTCAGAATGTTCAGGATATAAATTCAATCCAACATGTAACAGGAATGAACTTATTACATTTTGCTGCTGACTTGGGGTACAAGAATATGGTGCAATATTTGCTCAGTAAAGGAGCAGATGTTAATTCTGTATCTGATACGTTGGTCACACCATTGCACAAATCTGCTTACGCTGGGCATGTAGAAATTGTCACAATATTGATTTGTAATGGCGCAAATATAAATGCTAAGGATTCAGCTGACAACATCCCACTTCATTTTGCTGCGTTTAATGGACAGCCATCAACTGCTGAAATTTTGTTAAAACATGGTGCCGATTTCAATGCTTTTAACAAAGAAAAACGTTCACCTTTGCATCATTCCATTATGAATGGACATTTAAACGTGTTAAAACTTTTTATAGAACACGGTGCAGGTATTGAAGATGTTAAGAGAAGGGATTTTCCCGTATTTAAATATGCAATCCGTTATAATAACTTGGAACTCATAAATATTTTAATTGAAAATGGAATGTCGATTAACATAAGGGATTCTGATAGCTGTACTCCTCTTCATCACAGCATAAAAAATGGTTCGGTAAGTATTTCGCTGAGATTGATCGAATGTGGAGCCGACATTAATTCAGCAGATAAATTCAATCTTACTCCTTTGAGCCTTTCTATCAAACTTGGTTACTTTGAAATAGCAGATAAACTGTTATCCGAACAGGCCAATATTCATTCAGTTGATTATAAAGGACAAACTTTATTGCATATGTGTGTTTTAAGTTTTCTTTTTTGGGACACTATGGGAGAAGAATATTTTACAGAGACCTACAATAACTTAATCTCTAATTCAAGTAGGCTTAACATTTTTAAAAAGCTTGTAGAAAGTGGAATTAGTATTGAAAGTGAGAATATCTTTGGCAGAACTCCTTTGCACTTAGCTTGCATCTCAGGCTATGATGACATCGTTCAATATTTAATCCCTAAATTATCTGACATTAATACTTACGACAAACTAGGATATACACCCTTACATCATGCTGTCAAACATAATCATTTGGAAGTTATAAATATACTGTTAGCTAGTAAAAAATGTTGTTTGGACTCTAAGACGTCTCATAACCAAACAGCTTTATGCTTAGCTGTAACCAACAATTACACTGAATCATTTCGACTGTTAATCAAATATGGAGCAGATGTGAATGATGGGAATCCCCTTCATCGAACTGTATTGCTAGGAAATCAGGAAATGAGTATAATTCTTCTTGAAAACAAATCAACCAATATCGAAGAGCAATTTCAAAATAAATTTGAAACGCTTCTTTGGTACGCAGTGAATAAAGGTCTAAAACGAGTGGTATCTTTCGTTCTAGATAAAACGAAATTTTCGACGTCAGTTGCTTTGAATGAATTCTTATACTTTGCAATTCACAGGGGTTACGAAGATATTGTCACCATTTTATTGAATCATGGAGCTGACGTAAATTTTGTTTTTAAACCTAATTTTTCCCTTTTGCATCTAGCTGTGTTTTGTGGACACTCCGATATCATTAAATTATTGTTAACAAGAGGAGCTGATTTCAATAAACGGAATTCCGATAATCAAAGACCGGTTGATTTGGCTGTATTTCTGGGTCACTTGGAATCAGCACAAATATTTTTTCAGCAGCAAATTATAGACATAAATGAAAAAATCCATGATGGTTCTTCTTTGTTAAATTTAGCTGCTGAATATGGACACCTGGACATAGTAAAATTTCTCATGAATGAAGGTGCCGATTTAAATGTTATAGGAAGCTTCGGCTCAAAACCCATACACATAGCTGCTTATTATGGATATTTACATATTGTTAAATACTTCATTCGGTGCGATGAAAAGCTGTTAACAGACCGTGGATGTGCAAACATGACTCTTCTTCATTACGCAGCTAGTGGAGGCCAAACAGCAATTGTTAAATATCTAATTGAAAAAGGAATTGAGGTCAATGATGAGTGTGACGATGGATTCCGACCAATTCATTTTGCAATAAAGTCTGACCATGAGGAAGTAATCAAATTACTGCTTAACAATGGCGCTTTTTATGACTGCATTAGATTATCTGAGATAGAAGAAAAAGATATTAAAAGAATTTTTCTGATGATAAAAGAACTTTTTCATTCAGTTATATTCAGCAATATTTCAAAGGTTATATCACTTCTTGATGAGGGTGCGTGCATCAATGCTAAGGATTCAACAGATAATACGGTTTTGCATTATGCAGCATGTAAAGGTTATGCTGAAATTTCTCAAATTTTGGTACAAAACAACGCAAATCCTAATATGTTCGGAGAGGGGAATGCTACACCTCTTCATTACGCGTCAGTCTTTGGCAGAATTGAAGTAATAATAATTCTATTGAAAAATGGTGCTATATATGATGCAATAACAACTGATATGAAAACTCCTCTTGATCTATCATCAAGCAAAAGTGTCAGTGATCTATTAAAACTAATCGATAGCGCTTTCAAATCTGTGCAAAATGCTAATATTGAGATTTTAAAAACCCTGGCAAAAATTATGGATTCCAATGTGTTAAAATCGATTATGTGTACAAAAAATAAAAAAGGAAAGACTTTACTGTCTTGCGCTATCTGCAATGATTTTCCTAAAATAAATCATCTCAAACAACTATTTTTCAATTATTCAGAAACCTACAATCAAATTTATAATCATTTATTTATTAAAGAAAATTTTAATGATGATATAAGGATGCAAACGAATTTGCTGCAGAAAATTTCTGCAACTCATGTTTCAGATAATCCAAATTCATTAGAAAACAAAGAAAACTATGCAATAATATTGTATAAGCTGCAGAAATATCACGAAGCACTTGATATTTTTCAGGAAATGGTTCAGAGGAAGATGGAGCTATTTGGACTGGGTAACATTCGTACTCAAAAAACACGATTTTATATTGGTTCCATTCTCCATAGATTAGATAGAAACGAAGAAGCAATAGAAATTTTAAAAGATGTTTACTTACAACAAAGCTTTTTAATGGGTTCAGATCATTTTGAGACTTTGATTACTATGTTTAGTGTGGCAGAAGTTTTAAATGAACTTAAACGGTATGATGAAGCACTAAATCAAAATAGGATTATGTTGAGAAAATTTCAGGAAATGTTTGGTTCAGAAAACCCTCTAACTATATACGCTCAACAATCTCAAGCAGATATTTTAACAAATTTGGGCAAGTACTGCGAGGCTCTATCTTTCTGCAAATGTATTTACGAATACAAAAAAACAGAGCTAGGGCCTTCTCATCCAGACACTTTAATGTCACTTTTTAAAGTAAAGTCTTTGTTATGTTATCAAAGTTCATCTGATAAAGCTCTCAATGACTTACAAGATTTTTTAAATATTCAGGGAAATGTTTTAGGTCCAAATCATCGATTTACGTTAATGGCTGAGTATGAATTAGCCAAACTGTCATTCAAATGTCATAGATTTAGTGAGGGTCTTAAAATTCTTAAAAGATATATTCCGAAACGAAAGGTTGTCTCAGGTGAAAATGATTCAATGATTTTAAAACTGCAACAAAAAATAGAAAAATGGATGGATGAGGTTGATTTTTTCAATTTACTAACATCATCCGATAAAGCTCCGAAACCAATCGTGTCACTTGTTCAAGATATGTATCAATTTGAAACTTTTGATTCTGAAGGAACAACGTTTCTTCATTTTGCTGCAAGGGAAGGACATACGTCTTTAGTAAACTATGCATTGCCGATTGGATTCAATGTTATGGCTGTAACCAATACAGGAAATACTGCACTACATGTAGCAGCGTCTAAAGGTCATGCTGAAATTATCGAGTTACTTCTCAAGCATGTAAAAAAAACTAACTTCAAACAATTAACTGATTTTATAAATGCTGGAACACGAAATAAAAGAAATTCTGCATTACATGCAGCTGCAGATGTTGAAACTGTCAAGACTTTGCTCAAGTACGGTGCCATCTATAACATACGAAACAAGGATGGCAGAACACCAAAAGATTGCACAACAGTAGACAGCATTTCTGATTTTTTTCAACTGATTGAGGAATTTTTCATTGGTGCCTTGATTGGAGACGGCAAAATAATATCCAAATTCAAGAATCTTTGCCCAGAAGATAAATTAACAGTTTTAAATGCAAGAAATGAGTTGCACCACACAATACTGCAAGTTGGTTTGAATTATGGGCACAAAAAAATTATTGAGAGTATTAAACTTGATGTCTGAGATTGGAAATTTCATTTTTTAAATACTATAAAAGAAATTTAATGCTTCAAAGCTTCCCAAATGCTAAAGTTGGTAAATTGAATTCTATATAACAATATACATACTTTGTGATACATTATGACTGGCTCCGAAACAATGGGATGGGGGAATTTGAATAAATTTGATAGTTTAACCTTAAAATAAGTGTGTCATGAACCGTCATGAACCGTCATAAACCGTTTTAATATATTTGGTAAATATATTTATGTAATGATTCTTATAATGCATGTAGCACGTTTTGCATCTGGATCTATTCATATTTTATATTTTTTGTATAAATGGTTTGCTAAGTAGAAACTGCAACTCTAAATTTGTATTTTTTTTTTTTTTTGTAAATAATTCTATCCAATCTGGTAATTTTTACGAAAGAGTTTTCCTTTTAACTGTCAAAGTGGAATAACAATTGGAGAATCTAGTTGAATAGATGAAACGTTATATATATTTGGTAAATATAATTGGCAAATATATTTATATAATTCGTATAAAGTATGTAGCAGGTTTTGCATCCAGACCAACTCATATTTTACATTTTTTGTATAAATGGTTAAGTAGAAAATTCAACTCAAAATATGCAATCGTTTTACTAGTTAGTAATTCTCTCAAATCTGGTAATTTTTAAGAAAGAGTTTTCTTTTTAACTGTCAAAGTGGAATAACAATTGGAGAACCTAGTTGAACAGATGAAGCGTTATATATATATTTGGTAAACATATTTATGTAACGATTCTTGTAATGCTTGTAGCACGTTTTGCATCTGGATTTATTCATATGTTACATTTTTTTGTATTTTTTGGTTTGCTAAATAGAAGCTTCAACTCAAAATATGTAATACTTTTACTAGTGAATAATTCTATCCAATCTGGTAACTTTTAAGAAATAGTTTTCTTTTTAACTGTCAAAGTGGAATAAAAATTGGAGAGTCTAGTTGAATAGATGAAGCGTTTAAGTGTATTTTCAAAGATGTTCATCTGAGTAAGAAGAAAATATGGTGTTCGAACTATTTTGTGATAGAATTAAGAGAACGTGGGCTAATACTTCTGTGCCCTATTTATATTACCACTACGTCATTTAAAGAGAAACTAATTCAATCACACACACAAAACTAATGTTTACTTATGTTAAAATTAAAATTGGAAAATAAAAAAAATCTGTTACAAATAGAAAACCCACATTGATTCAACCAGTTTTTACTATTTCGCTTGTTCAATTTATATATTTCTGTAAATGCTCCTAAAAATGTCACTTACTCTCTTCTTTGACACAGTTTTTCGATTTAATTCAATCATTTCCATTAAATTGCAAGAAATATTATTTAATGTTGGACTGCAGTTAGCAAAAAAACCAATTGTTTATGGGTTATCTAGCAATTGGTTAACAGCAAAGTATATGCTTTCACCTTTATTGCTGCAATCAACAATAATACTGCCAAATGTCACTGCTACTAATATACAATTTATCTTGAAAAGAAAAGCTTGTAAAAAATAATATTTTGTATTTATCTTGTTTTTGGAGAAACTAGATCAGCTATTTCTAAATGATGTTCCTCGAAACCCTGAGGTTTTCATATAAAGGCCACAGGGGTTCCGAAAATTAAAATTTTTTTCACGAGTTACGATTTTTGAAACCTGTAATTAGAATTATGTCCAATTAATAAGTTGTTATTTATTTAATGTTTGCGTACTTTGTATGAAATTGTTTAATTGAAATGTTTGTGAGGAAATAAATTTCATAACATTGTTATTTCTAATACTAATATAATGAATGAATTATGAAGAAAAAAAAGTTTATGCATTCGAGAAAAATTACATTAGCATTTCTTATGGAATAAAAAAACGTATTCAACATTGAAAAATTATTTTTCTTATTTAACCATTCAATAACCTCAACTATACTATCTGATGTTTCTCATTTATTTTTCAGTATTATAAAATACATTAACATTTGTGAACTTTTTCATTAAAGTGTCTTATAAATCGGAGATGAGGCTTTTGTTTTGGGCATAGTTCAAGAGCTTATTTCAAAAAAATATTCATAGTTCAAAAAGCATGTTTACGAAACTATGTACAGTCCGCAAAAAAAATATATATATATCACCCGGAATAGCTTTATTCGTTCTAATGATCGGATTTTCACGAACTAAGTGTCAATCTTAATGGTTCCTGGGGGTAACCTCAAATTTGCTAATTAATTAGTGCTAACTATTAATTAAGTTACGAAATCAGACACAAAAACGTTTTTTCTCTGAATAAACACATATTTTTTCACATATTTGGAATCCAGACACATGAATTAGGATGGGGCGGGGTAGGCAAAATTTTAAAAAATTGGGTCGTAAATTGGGTCACAATAAAGGTTTATATGTTTGGCGATAGTCCAGAAAAAGTCGCCAGCGCTAATTAAATATTTTAAGATAACACATTGACTAATTCAAAAGAAGAATGCTAAATTTCACTAGGTTGCTAAGCAACCAAGCTCTGACTGTAAAAAAAAATTGAAATAATGTTCTGTGATTGCTCGGAGAGGTTTAATTAATAGTTAATAGAAAATATCTCGAAGTTTCTAGGCAATAGACAATTTTTAAGCTGATTTCTGCCCAAAAAGCAAATTTTTTTTTTAATTTTAATCTCCTTTAAAAAAAAAATTTGAATCGATTTATAAATTATTTATGATTTTCAAAGTTTTTAGAATTTAAATACATGAACTTTCTGTCTGATATTATTTAGGTCATGTTGTTTTTGCTATATTTATTCGAGGATTTCATACTAAAATCAAATTAACATAACTTATTATGGCTATATGCAAAATTTTAGGGATAATCATTTTTACAGCATTAATTGAGTCTTCTAGGCAAGAAAATTTGAAGGAAAAAAAAGTACGTGAAAAATAAAATGTATATTGTATAGTAATTCCAATGCACATTCACAGGATTTTCTATAATTTACGATAATTCTTTTTTATTTAACTCAAGGAATTGCTGAATGTTTTATGGTATTTTAAAAACATGGAAAAATGTTATATTTAAAAATAAGATATCGAAATAATATGTTGCATATTGTAAGATTCATTGTTTAAAAAATCACTTCATTCTGCTAGATGTTTAGGTTACAAGGTTTTCTTTAGATAAAGATGATTAGCGAATAACATCCTCATGTTTCGATACATTCTGAAACTTACGTTCGCAAATTCACCATAAAATGTCGCACAGCATATTCTTCAATTACGATAAGCTACATTTACCACTAAATACTGCTACTATGATTATTTTTGTTTTCTTATATATATCTGATACGATACTCTCTTCTTAAACAGAGCTCGTAAGGTCCTTAAGATGCTGAAATGGGGGCACGAAAACTTAAAAGATAAAATATTAATAAATATCATTAACTCAAAATATCTGGTCTCAAAATTTTAATTTTAAAGTTATATATAATTTTTGCAATATTGATGCTCTTACGTTTTTAAAGACCACATATATCCTGTTAAAATATGAAAACGCATATGTTTAATGAAGAGGGAAGTAAAAGTCGACATGTTTTGAGCGTTCAAATATAATCGCCCATTCTCAAAACTTGTCAAGCTTGAACAACTTGTGACTTTTATTATTGGAAGCACAAAACATGTCTATTTTTATTATCATCTAATATTTTTTAAATCAGTGAAGTTTTTATATTTTCGATTCAGTTTCTTGGGATTGTCTATTTAGTTACACAACATATTGAATTATTTCACTCGATATTTAAATAAGTTTTTAAGTTATAGGCACAGGTTCTTAGATTGAAAAAATAATAATTCACTACTTTGTAAAAAAATCAATGAAGTGAAATTTTTTTTGCTGCGAGCCTTAAAAATTTAATTTAAGGACATAAAAAAATTCTGTTTACAATTGAAATTTGAAAAGTCGAATGTGAAAATGAAATGTCCCCTAGCACCAGGAATCGAAATTAAATAGTTACAAGGACAACTATTCAAACAAGTTATTGTTTCCGAACTACTCGAAGTTGTTTGAAAAGGTATTTTTTATATATCGATTCCAAAGTCTATTCTACATATATATACTTTCGGAGTATTTAAATCAAGTTTATTTTTACACCCTTATTTGCTTAAAATTATTAAATAATTTGCTTAAAATAAATTATTCAAGCTACATGATTTAATACTATTATAGTATAATAGTAAACGGGGATTCCATCGCATATTTTTAACCTTGATACGGCTTTTTCCTCGTTTTATTTTTCAAGGAAATATGTTCCGATCGAACAGATTTCATTCTGGAAATAGCGAAATTATTGAGTAGGTCCGTTAGAGCAATATCATTCTTATCCTCTTTTGACGAAATATAGGAAAAATTGGTTTTCACAGTTTCTATAAAAAGTATTATTAAGTTATTCTTTAAAAGTAAGTCTTCTTGCCACGTTTTTTTAATTATTTTTTTAAAATTTTTAATCTAAATAAGTTTTTATTTTTTATCTAAATAATTGTGTATTTTTTATTGCATTTTTTCTTAAATCAGATGGTTGAAAAATTGACCGGCTTCGGAATCTTCTAACAAATTTCAATTTTTAATATTTCCTGCTTAACAAAATAAGGCATTTTTCCTGATAACAAATTATACTACAATAATATATTGGGAATCGTGCTGAAGTAAAAAATTAAACAAAATAATTTAGTGTATTATCCGGAAAAAAATCTACATGGAATCATAAAGAAAGAGTAAAAGATATAATGAAATAATTAGTGAATCACACATGGTCAGATAATTAAAAATTTAATTTCACAACTAAAATGTTAGGACGATATTTAAGATACTGATATATTTTAAGACGCTGAAAAATTTTGGCTACGTATTCGACAGTTTTTTATGTTCGGTATCTTTATACTCTTTGTAGTGACTTATAAGACATCAACACTATTTTAGATAATCTATGTTGAAGTCACAAAAAACAAAAACAAAAAAGACAATAAACGATTTATGTTCCTTTTTCAGAAAAAATAGTATGCTTAGTAAATAATCAGCTGTTTTGCATTAAATAATTTTAAACAGTGGAATGTTTTTAATTTCTTAACAATGTTTTATTCTTAGCTAGCAGACAATAATTCTTTTATAAAAAAACTTAACTATAATTTAAAAAGGAACTTTACTTTCAAGAAAACCTAAATTAGAGTACTAAAACAATTGATTAGTATATTAATGAAGAAATAATAAACGTAGTAGGGTAAAGAATAAGATTTTTAAAAATGTTAAAATTTAATTAAGTTGTTGGTAAAATAGTACTGCGTATTACTTCCTCACAGGTGATTGAAAAATCACTTTTAAGATTAAGATAATATATAAGATGTTGAGAAATTTGCGATGATGTGAGATATGCTTAAATATGTTTACTGCGTATTTTTATTAATATTTATAAAAAATATATTGAGGAAATTGATAAATATTTTATTCTAAATCTATTCATACATATGCATATAATTAAAATTGTTTCAGTTATTGAGAAAAGAAACTAAAAAATAAAAAATAATCACATTAAATAAGCACAATCTGGTGAATAATTAAATTCTATCAGAATCAAGCTTTTATAAAACTCGATATTCTTTGAATAAAATTTTTTTTATTCAATAAAGAATTTTACTCACATTTCTTTACTAAATTGCAAGCAGATTTTTAGACGACTAAAAAAGAAACACCGTATTTTATAGTTGTAAAAAAATAAAAATAAAAATATTAGCAAACTATTATTAGCGAAAAAAATATGAATTAAAATTTATGCTACGCGCGCGAAGTCAAGTTCCTCCTAAGTTTATTACATTTTAATATTGATCGTCCCATTTAATTATTTCTTCATTGTCGCCAAATTATTTTTTTTTAAATAATTAATTTTAATTTTTCTCTTCGAATAAATAAAAACAGTTAAAACTTTAGATTTTTCAATTGAAAAATATATAGATCTATATGGTATAAAAATATCCATACCTTGTAATTCAACATTTTTTCATTCTTACTTTAATTAAATAGTAAAAAATGATAAATAATTATTAAAAATTATTTTTTCCTGAAATTATCTTTGGGTAAATGAGTGTTTTGAGTGGGTGCAATTTTTTTTTGAATTGCTTCATTAGTTTTTAAAATATTACTGAAAACGCAAAAAGTGAAATTAATATTAAGGGGTCCAAGCTTTGAATCGCTCTGACCAAACTATGGGGACCACATTTCCCAGATTGCGGCTATCCCCTATATTTTGAAGATAAGAAACCCATATATGCGAAAAATATTTATGTTTATTCAGAGAAAGTACGTTTTTGCGTCTGATTTCGTAATTTAGATAATAGTTAGCACTATTTAATTAACATATTTCAGATCACGCCCCTGAACCATTATGATTGACACTTAGTTCGAGAAAATCCGATCCATTAGAACGAAAGTTATTCAGGATGATATCTTTCTTTTTGTGGACTCTACATCGTTTTATTTTATAATATAGTCATAGATTATGACATAATAAAATCAAAAGCGAAATGAAATTAATAGCAAAATACACTTTACTTTATGTGTCACAATAAGATTTCAACATAATGTAAATTAGAAAAAAGCATGTTAGAAAAGCAAAGTCAGTACGACTATTACATCAGTAATCAAAGTGAGATCCTTTCTATTCAATTACATTCTCGCATTCGTGGACACAGAGAGCGTTCACAAAATGATGATATCAATATTTCTTTAGACATCTTAATTGCATCAATCAAAACCGACTTGCTTCTCAATTGTCCACCAGATCTGTAAATGTATCTTACTAATGTGCCCCAAAGTTTTTCTACCAGATTGAGATATGAGCTACTGGATGGCCGATCAAGGGATTTATGCTTCAGTAGCTTTCATCCAGGAGTGAGTTGAATTATGAAGTATGGACTGGCGCATGTCTTGTAAAATTCCAGTCTCCGAATGTCATAAGAAGAGCAACAGGCTATAGATTTTGATACATTCTGATCTTTTATATATTCTGATTTTTAATATATTCCGAATATATTCTGAAACGTAATTGAATTCATTTTAGTTTGTGTGAATGTAATAGGAGTACCACCGCCTGTAGCAAAAGAAACCGAAACCGTAACAAATCATCCACCAAATTGACGTTTGGTAAATAAACGGGTTATTGTCCGTAAGTAGTACCAAAAACTATTGACAGCCATCTAATTAAACTTCAGAAAAGGACATATCACTTCGATTCGCACCTTTCTCAAGATGTTTCTTTGCAAATGCTAAATAAACATCATCGTGGAAATTAATAAGCGGAGTTTTCTAAATATTAATATTCTTAAATTAAATGTTCTGATTTACTACTGCATGTTGATTGCATTTCATTTTTATTTTACTGCCGATGACATCTTATCGCGCAAGCAAGATTCCAAATTTGTTTTTCTTGCTTTGATATTTTTTTTTTTGTCTTCTGATACGCTGTTTATTGCCTTGGTTTTCAGGATTCCTGAGGTAACTATTTACCTTAGACCTTTTTATTTTCTAGCAGTTTCAGAACCACTCAAGTCAATTTCTTAAAAAGCTAAAATTTTATCGACAGTTCACTAGTATATAGCACGTGTTAACTTGATTTTATCTTGGCGTACCTATTGAGAGATTAAGGTTGACATTGTCCGTAATATATCACCACAAGATCGGCTCGCAGGCACGCTGCTTGTCTCAATCTGAACATGCCTATCTCGATAGAAACGTCCACCTCCATTTGAATATGCCTAGCTTTCTGGAGGGATCAGAGAGAACAATTGCCTTTGCAATATACGACATTGGTCTCCTTGTGCTGTTGCTACTCAGACTAGATCAGACACATTGGGGTACTTTAGCCTAGCCCAACATGGGTGATTCACGGACGTGATCTGAACACGCTTGCCTCAACTAGCTCTCTACAAGCTAATATAGTGAGGTGTATATTTTTTAATATTGGACCAATATCATTTTCTATGTAGGAACCTTATAGACTTAAAATGTTGGGTAAAAATTGGGATGTCTAGATTTTTCAATATTGGTAATAGAATGACTTTCTTTTCAAATTTGATTTCTTGATGCAGGGAACTGAAATACACCAAATAAATCTAAATTTTGCAAAAAAATCGTTTAAAAAGTTTAAAACAGAAATTTGCTAAAACATATAGAAGGTATTAGATGACACTATTGATTTAATATTGTTTGATAAGTTTATTCTGTGTTACAAGTAGAGATATTTGATGGGTATGATTCATTGCTGATTCTGCATATTGCACAAGTTTATCAATATCTGAATCAGTGATTCTGCTAGTGATTAAATCTGCTTGTGAAAATTACGGGTCCTTCTATATTTCTGGGTTCCCTTTTTACTAAAAGCAGCTTTCTATTAAAATATGAATTCCCAACCTCTTTATAGATCTATTTATAAACACATTCATAATATTATTTGATATATTGCTATAAGAAGATATTGATATAGATTTATATATTGATAAATTGATAAACGAAGGATTTTATAACAAGTGGAGTTATGTTTTAACAATCGAGACTTTTACTTAATACTGAACAGACAACTTAAACAAAGAAATGATGTAATTACTCATATTTTATCTTCCAGTTATTTATAATAAAATAAAAGACTTTTTTTATATGTATTTAAAGTTTGTTTTTTATTTTTATTTTGTATCTATAAGTTTACTAACACACTATTTTTTCGCACTGGAAAAATAAGCGTTTCAGGGGACGCGTGTTAACACATTTTTCACTTCCTTCTCGCAATTTTGGCCTCTTTGGCGCGTAAGCGAAAGACCTTAGATAACATCGATTCTAATGTTAAATGTTTTAAACAATATGTCTCATACCATAAAAACTCATATTTTTAAAATCATTTAAAAAAATTTCATTAATGAAGTGAAATAATTCAAAATTAATAATTTTCACTAAATATTTCTAGACATATATAAGTATTTTAGGAAATTATGGCTCCCATGTTACAACATGAAACTAATTCAAAATGAATAGCACCTTACGAGAAATTATTTAAAAAAATTAGCCAACTGTCTATCCTCATGCTTTCGCTTGTCATGCGTGTTTATTAATTAAAAAAAATACTTAAAAATACTCATTTACTTATTTTTATAAATTTTTTTTATAAATAATTCTAACTAAATGTAGATATTTTCGAAATATAACACCCATAGTTCATTAATTAAACTACTTTCATGTTTTATGTTAGCTTCATGTTTCATTTTAGTTTCAATGTATATATTACGAAATACAAAAATGCATATTACACGCAAAAAATTACTAAACGTGTAACAAAATGATAAGAAAAAAATATAAATCATCCACGATAACGTAAAGGCTATATATTCTCTGGACTTTGCGTAATTTTAAAATTTCATAAAAAAAAAATTTAAATTTCCCATGCACATTTAAAGACGTATCGTATATGGTTATTTCTTACAAAAAAATAGTGCCCCTATTTTAACATGAAACTTACCAGGTAGTAAATTGGGCGAAGGGCTTGTATGAATTAGATGCAATTTTTTCATCTTTATAATTAGCCAGCTTTCTTCGTTAATTTATGTTATACAAACATAATAATTTAGTATAACTTTTAGAAAGTAGCTTTCTTTTAATCAAGACGGGACTAGGAAAACATTTTTAAATAACAATTTAATATTACTAAAACACTTAAAAAACAGTAAAATTATGTTGTTCGTCATTTCTAATGATACTTAAATGAGCCAAACTTTTTGCGAATTAAGTTGGGAGGCGCGAATTTCGTTTGACAAGAGAGCACAGCGAAGGTGAAACTAAGTCTCAGCTCACAACCCCACGAAAAAATGGCAACCTCACTCGTGTGACCATTTTTTCAATTTAGACATAGATCTATTGGTAGGGAAATTTTCTCCATATCCCTGTACCTATGGTACTCAGCGACCAGCCTCAAGACTTTGGATGATGCATATTTTACGAGCAAGTATGCGTCGCATGTACTCGGTGGCTCTTAGCGGAGTTAAGAATCAAACCCCAACCCAGAGAATCAAACCCCAACCAATGCCAGATTCTCTAGCCACTGGAATACCACGACTCTAAAGAATTAGAAATTAGTTATGAAATTTCATACTATAATTGTGGTTATTACAAAACTCTATGTAGTATTAAAGAAAAGATCTACCCTAATAATGATAAATGTAAATTAATGCAAAATTTTAGTTGCTGTCAAACAATTTTTGTGTATGCTTAAATTGGAAATAATCTTTAAGAAATGAACTATTCTGAAATTTCATTATAATTTAGAAGCTAAAATAATTGCTTAATTCCAGGAGAACTGCTGAAATACAGAGGCTCCAAATATCCCAGATCTAGAAAATTTGTACCTCCTTATAACTCAGGTAAGTTTTTATAATTTTATTATAAACTTTAGCTAAAGAACACTCTGTATCTTTTACATTAAAATTTCATTCCACATTATAACTCTTAATATTCTCCAAAACCTGAGTTTAATGTAATGTATTTTTTCTTCTCTCTCTCAGGTTCATAATTATGATGAATAGCAAAAAATTGGAAATCGACCCTCAAGTGCAGCAATTATTGAACTTGTTAATGAAATCAGAGAATGCAGTAACTGACCATTTTTCTCAGTATGATGAAGAAAAGAAAATACGTATATACTTAAAAATTTTAATAGCAATAAAAAATGCTATTGAAGCCAATGAGGAAGTAAAATTTCAAAGATTATCGACCTCCTTGTCATTGTTGAGTAAAGGGGCCAGTTCTCCAAATTTAAATTCTTCCTTTAATTGCGATGACAATCCATTTAAAATGTCTAATGTGATTATAATGACTTGTAAATATAACCGATTAGAAATCTTGAACCACATATTTAGTGAAGATTCAATGATTATCAGTGATCTTTCTTCAAAAATTGGAAGAGAATATCCTTTGCCTGCCGATAATGACGAAGAAGATCACAATGCCTTTTATTATGCAATACGTTCAGGAAATATCCGACTTTTGGAAGTTTTAATGAAGAAGTGGCCATCGGACTATTTTTCTTCACACACTGAAGAATTGTGTTCTCTCCTATCAAGGAGCTTAAATGAATTGAACTTAAAAAATGTAGATGTATCAATTGAAATGGAGATGTTTATAAACAGTTTCTTACTTGATTACTATTTAGAAAAAAACCCTCCATCTGACTCAAATGTTTATTCTCACGATGATATCGAAGAAAAACTATCACTAATATTAGAGTACATTGATTTATTTAGAACAAAGAGTGAATTTAAAGATCTGATGATCTTTTCAGCAAAACAACTTGCCGTGAATATAATGATTTTGAAAAAAAGACTGAAATCTACTTATGACAGAATACCTTGGGAAGAAATGGAACTTCATTTAGTTTCGATCATCCGATATCTGAATAACCAGGGGAGTTATATAAACTGCTGTGTAACAATGGCAGACTTCGTAAAATACCTCGGTATTTTTTCACAATGCATACTGAATGAAACCAAAGAAATCGAGCAAGTGGATATAAAAAAGCTATGTGAGCTTCCTGAAAAATTAAAACGAGGAGATGTAGTAAGCCGTATCACCTCTAAATATCCAGACTTTAAAGAATTTTACCAAAATTACGACTTAATACGCGATTATGAGTCTCTTAATATTATTAAAAAATATGTCGATATAGTAACGGAAGTCAACTCTCAAGAAAAGAGTGGGAAGACTGTAATTGTGAGGGCACTGCAAGTCATAGGAGAGAATTTAAAAAATTCACTGGAATCGCCTAAACTTTCTTCTGCTTCAAACGATTTCTTGATGTTGTTTATGCCAAATCAGACTAATACTATTTTGAAAACTTTGAGAGATTCGTTTTCTCACGGATTTCCCTTATCTACCTGCCAAGAAATTGAAGAAGTTTTCGGATCTGATTTTTACTCATTAGTTCAAAATGACGTGAAGAGTTTAATCCATGGCATCACTTCAGTACTTCAGAAAATAAAGTTTAAAACTCTCAGAACTCTATTGGAAAGAATTTGCAATTGCGAAGACATTGATTCATTCAAAGACATTTCCTGTATGATTCGACTTATTAATCTTAAAGATGACCTAACAGATATAAATAATGCTATAGCAGGCAACAATGATATAATTACAGTAGAAAAACTCGTGTCCGGTTTGAATGAAATTATGAAGGAAAAAACACCTATTGAAGAGAGTAACTTTAAGAAAATAGCAGATATTATTAATTTTGAGAAGGGTAAGTTGAAAAACTTCGGAATAAAATTTGATACAACCCTTGCTCTGTTAATTTATGCACGCGTTCCTGAGTGTAAAATGGATAGTTTCTTCATTTCCGAGAGAAAAAAGTTTATAAGGCAGAAGCTGAACTACGTGAATCCTGATAATATGTCACGAAGCTTAACAAGAATTGGAATACTAGCACATGAAATAGCAAGGAATGCGAAAGTAGATGAACAGAATATTTTTAACTTCTATTCCATAATTTTCAAAATTTTCTACATTACTGAATGTCAAGGGCATGAAATTAAACACCTTAAGAAACTCAAGAAAAGTTATGAAAAAACTGTAAAAATCACAAATGAGAAAATTAGAAGCATAAAAAAGTCGTCAACTACCTGTTATCAAGATATCTTATACGATGATATTATTGCTTTAAAGAAAATTGTAAGCGATCACAATTTCTCAGAAAAAAATGTTGTTTCATTTCAACTCTATCAGAATAATAAAAAAGTGCAAGTAGAAATTGAAATGCTTATAATGTCTATTTTATCTAGCTTAGAGCATTCCAACCTTTATTTAATAGCGAGTCAGCTGTCTAACGAAGAAGATAATCCTTTATTGGTTGGAAGATATCTAAGGAATTATCTAGCTCATGGTAATCCTGTAGTAGACATTTTGATGGATTCAACTCAGTTAATATTTTTATATGCTTTAAAAATTATTAAACATGATATTTATCGAAAAGAAAATTTCATGATTAAACGCCTGAAGACTATATTAAAAGCAAAGTCCATTGTTGAAAATCAAGAGAGATTGTTTGGCGCTTTGACTAGAAATTCCACAGACGATGTGATACACTGGATAACAGAAGGGGCTGATATCTATGGAAGAGACCACGACTTGATGACATCGTTACATTTTGCTTCAAAATCATCTAACATTGATAATATAAAACTCTTAATTGGCCGTGGTTTGAATCCAAAAGTCAAAGATTTTTATGACAGAAATATTCTCCACGTAGCTGCTGCAGGATGCAAAGAAATGGCAAGTTACATTATAGAAGAGCTAAGAATATCAGTTGATGAAAAGTGTAAAGGAGATCAGACAGCCCTCCACATTGCAGCAGAAAATGGCTGTGTTGATGTCGTAAAAACATTGCTTCAGAACAAGACTGCAGTAAATATCAAGAGTCTATTACCTAGGACTCCACTGCACAATGCTGTGATCAATAATAAAGTAAACGTTGTTGAACTGTTTCTGGAAAATATGGAAGATATAAATTTGATCAGAAATCCAGAGGGGTTTAATTTATTGCATTTTTCTGCTGAGATGGGTCACTTGGATATGACTTTTTATTTACTTCAAAAAGGAGCTTATGTTAATTCTGCATCTGATAGATTGCTCTCACCATTGCATCTATCTTCTTATGCAGGTCATACTGAAATAGTCAAAACATTGCTTTCAAAAGGGGCAAACGTAAATGCGAAGGATTCATTTAATTACACTCCACTTCATTTCGCTGCAGTAAATGGTCACGCATCCACTGCTGAGGTTTTAATTGCATATGGTGCAGATATATATTCTTCAGGTCATGAAGACCTTTTACCTTTGCATTTAGCCATTGTGAAAGGACATATTAGCGTAATAAACACTTTTGTAAAACACGGTGTAAGTATTAAAGATGTCACAATAAGAGGTGCTTCTGTACTTGAGTATGCAATTCCCCACACAAATTTAGATTTGATAAATTTTTTAATCGATAATGATGCCCCTGTTAATGTGAAAGATGTTAATGGCAGAAATCTTCTTCATCTAAGTATAAAACACGGATCAATAGATTTATTACTGCGATTAATTGAAAGAGGAGTTGATATTAATGCAGTAGATAAAAACGGTTTCACACCTTTGAGTCTCTCCATCGGACTGGGATACTTCGATATGGCTAAAAAACTCTTATCCAAAAAAGCTGATATTGATTCTGTTGATAAACGTAGACAAAATTTATTACACATGTGCGCTACAAATTTAGAATATTGGAATTCAGTTAGCAGTGGTTACAATTTAATTAATGAAGAAAAACACAATGTTTCATTTCCTAACTCGAGTGGGCTTGAAGTATTTAAAATACTTGTTAACTTGGGAATTAACATTGAAATGAAAAATATCTATGGCCATACTCCATTGCACATTGCCTGCATGTTCAATAACCTCCCAATAGTGCAATATTTAACTGATAATTCAGCCAACCTTAACATTCCTGATAAAATTGGGTTTTCACCTTTGCATTACGCTGTTGACAGTAATAATCTTGAGCTTGTTAAAATACTTTTCGCAAGTGGAAAATGTTCATTAAATTCTATGACTTCTGAAGGCGATACTGCATTGTGCTTAGCTTCCAAGAGCAATTACGCTGAAATAACTGAGTTTTTGATCAAAAATAAAGCTGATGTGAATGACGGTGATCCACTTTATAAAGCTCTCGTGCAGGGAAGTCAGGATACGTGCATAATTCTTCTGCAAAATAAATTTATAGATATCGAGAAACAGTTTAAAGATAAGGGTGAAACTCTTCTACAAACAGCTTCACTCAAAGGCTTAGAACGATTGGTGTCCTGCTTTTTAGATAAAAAGAGACTTTCAAAATCAGTTAACATAAACGAGTCCTTGTTTTCAGCAATCCAGTATGGATACGTGGATATTGTAATCCTTCTGTTAAATCACGGAGCTGATGTTAACATTGTTTTTGAAAATCATATTACCCCATTGCTCTTAGCAGCATCACTCGGTCATTCTAAAATCATGCAAGTATTGTTAGACAGAGGTGCGGACTTTAATAAATTAGATTTAGAAGGTAGAAGTTCAATTGAATTGGCTATCATGCATGGTCATTTGGACTCAGTAAAATTATTTCTACAGAATGAGACTGTGGATGTAAATGAAAAAATAAATGGCGATTATACTCTGTTGCACATTGCCGTGCAATGTGGAAATCTAGACGTAGTAAAGTTTCTTATGAACGAAAATGCCTCATTAAATGTTGCTAACGAAATCGGTTCAAAACCTGTTCACGTAGCAGTTCAAGCTGGACATTTACATATTGTTAAGCACTTCCTCCAGTGTGATGAAAAATTGTTAACAGAGCGTGGATGTTCAAACAACACACTTTTACACTATGCAGCTCAAGCAGGCGAAACAGAAATTGCAAAATATTTGATTGAAAAAGGAGCAGATGTCAACGAATCTGGAGATGATGGAGTAAGGCCTATCCATTTAGCTTCAAAGTTTGGCTTTGAGGAAGTACTAAAAGTACTGCTGAACAATGGCGCCATTTACGATTGCAATCTTGATGCCTTTCCAATGACACCACTACTTTTTACTCATAAGGAAGGTGTTAGAAAAATATTAATGCTGACAAAAGAAATTTTTGACTCAGTTAAAAGCAACAATGTTACGAAGGTAAAATCGCTAATTGATAAAGGAGCTTGCATCAATGCGAAAGACTCAGGAAATGCCACCCTTTTGCATTATGCTGCATGGAAAGGGTTGGTGGATATTATTCAAATTCTGTTGCAAAACAAAGCAAATCCTAATATAGTTGGAAAAAATAATTCCACTCCTTTGCATTATGCGTCGAAGTCTGGGAATATTAAGGTCGTAAAAATTCTATTAGAAAATGGAGCCACATATAACGCGATGTCAACAGCTGGGAAAACTCCTCTTGATCTAGCTTCAAGCAAAGACATTATCGATTTATTAAAACTAATCGATACTTCTTTTAAAAATGTACAGAATCGTAATACTCAGGTTTTAGGTGTTCTAGAAAAATTTAAGAAGTCTGAAGAGTTAAGGTCAGTGGTGTGTGCAAAAAATACAGAAGGAAAAACTCTAATAGCTTGGGCTATTTATAATGATTTTCCTGATTTAAATCAGCTTAAGCGTATATTTCTAAATGAATCTGAATCCTACAGGCAAATTTTTAATCAATTATTTAGGAATGAAGATTGCGACGCAGCTCTAAACATTCAATCGAATTTACAGCAGAAAAATTCAGAAATGTTTGGCTTAGATAATCCCTTTACATTAGAAACCAAAGAAATTTCAGCGATAATACTGTATAAGCAGCAAAAGTATTTACAAGCACTAGCTATTTTTCAGGAAATGTTGCAAAAAAAGAAGAAATTGTTTGGACTAAATAATAGTGGAACACAGAAAACACGATTTTATATAGGCTCTATTTTGCATAGCTTAGGTAAAAGTATAGAAGCGATAAATATTTTAGAAGACGTTTACTCGCAACAAAGTAAACTTTTGGGATTCGACCATTTTGAGACTTTGATTACTTTATGTAGTTTGCCAGAAGTTTTGAACGCACTTAAGCGGCATGATGATGCACTGAATAAAAATAACATTGCGTTTAAAAAGTTTCTCGAAATGTTTGGGTCAGACAATCCTATAACTATTCACTCCCAAGAAAATCTTGCGAATACTTTAACTCACTTGGGCAAATACGAAGAAGCATTGTCCAACTATAAATGTGTTTACGAATACAAAAAGAGAGGATTAGGGCATCATCATTCAGCCACTCTGATGTCCCTTCATAATATTAAATATACATCATGCCTTCATAATTTATCTGATAAAACACTCAATGACTTGCGAGAAGTTTTACATATCCAGGAGAAAGTTTTAGGTCCTAAACATGAGTTTACATTGAAAGCTGAAACCAATTTAGGAGCATTATTGTTCAGAAGCGGTAAAATTAGCGAGGGTTTCAAAATTCTTAAAGAGAATATTGAGAAACAAAGAGCTGTGTTTGGTGTTAATAACCCAAAAGTTTTGAAAATGGAACAATTTTTAGAAAAAATGAATCATGGCGTCGATTTGTTCAATTTACGAAAACCGTCGAATCATACTAAGCCTGATCAAGATCCGTCATCTAATGAATCGCTTGCGAAAGACCTGTATCAGTACAGAACTTTTGATTCTGAAGGTAGAACTTTCATTCATTTTGCTGCAAGTGAAGGACAGATGTCTTTAATAAATGATGCATTACAGAATGGATGCAATGTTATGCATACAACCCACAAAGGAAATACAGCTTTGCACATTGCATCGTCTAAAGGACATTTTGAAATTGCTGAAAAGCTCCTAATGCATGCGAAAGAAAATAACTTCGATCAATTGTCTTCATTCATAAATGCTAAAACAACAACTGGAGGAAATTCTGCACTGCATGCAGCTGGAAATGTAGAGACAGTCAAGATTTTGCTTAAGTACGGTGCCATCTACAACATGCGAAATAAGGAGGGTAAAACACCAAAAGATTACACTAAAGTAAAAGAAATTTCTGATTTTCTGCAACTTATTGATGAGTTTTTCACAGGTGCTTCGGTTGGAGACTGCAAAATAATTTCCAAACTGAAGAGCCTTGGACCTGAGGAAAAATTAGCTGTTTCAAATGCAAAAACTGAAGAGAACCTCACGTTACTCCAAGTGGGTGTGACCAATGGAGACAGGAAATTTATTAAAGAAATTGAGATTTGTTTTAAAATCTAAAATTATCTAAACACAAAGTTTTTTTTCAATAACTCTATCAGGGTATCAATTAAATCCAGGATTCTTAAATTTCAGTTCTGATATATTCTATTTTAAATTACAAGCAGCTTTGCTGCGAGATCTGTCAACCAATTTTTGAAGAAATTTACGTAAATGGACATTTATGGCAAAATAATAACATACATATGTGCTTACTGAGATTTGTTCATTAAATTAAAACATGTTTACATTGGTAATTGAAAAATACTTGATTAAATTGTGTATTAATTGTTTTTCATTACTTGTTAGCAACTTTTAATAGTTTGATTTGCAGGTTTTGCACTAATTTTTTCACAAGTGTTTTGCAAAGTGAGAATTACATATTTTATTATCATTTTTCTCAACACTTAGAAACGTCTTTAAATAACTTTCATTTTATGATATGTTTATTAAATATTTGTTTATTTGTATAAGATGTGATAACAATTATTTTGAATTAAAAATACTTTTTATTAACCAAACTAATTTTTTGTGTTGAGACAAAATAATTTATGATACTGAAGATATCATATTTAATTTTGAACTAAGTTTGTATTTTATTTTTATCAGTAATTAGTTTTATAAGTTAAAAATGTCCTTTCAATAAATAAATATAATGTTATTTCATTATAAATTTCTGAATTATCTAAGATATAAAGTTAGAAGCTGAAGGTTTTTGAAGGTTTAAATATTTGAATGTATGTAAAAGATGCTTTAAAATACTGTAGCTAAAACAGTAGTGGTAGCTCTTAGCTCAATATTAAAATAAATCAAATACCAAGATACAAATGATGATTCAAATTATAAATTCAAGGAAAATAATTATATATATATATATATATATAGATATAGATATAGATATAATAAATCTTGGTAGTCAGTGATATACTTAACTTTTCCAGTAAACAAAGTGCATACTATAACGAGGTTTCCAAAAGTCAGTCAGACTGCTCATTAAAGCAAGAAATTTTTCTCCTAGTAGTAGCAAGAATAATACATTCATATTTCAATAAATTAGAATTAAAAGAATTTTTTCCACCACTAAACAAGGGTAACTTTTTTTTTACGCCATTCACTTAACTTTTGCTCTTGACTTCGGAGGATGCCGGATGTGTTGCTCATTTAACGTTACCCAGTGGACACCTGTGAACCTAAGTCACGGAGGCTAGCAACATTACCCACGCCACAGTACCACAGATACCCGTTCATAGGGGGAACCACATTCACACATCACACAACAGAGAACAACACACAGAGAGGGACACATCCATGCCCTGAGCGGGATTCGAACCCATGGCCACTGGCTTCACAGTCAGGCACGCTAAAGGCTCGACCACCTAGCCGGCAACGCGAATAGTTTAAACAGATCATATAGAAGAAAGGTCATATGGACAATCTAAAGGAACAGAGCCCTATCAGATAAATTATATTCATCACCTAACAATAATCTTAAAAGCTGCCACTTTCCTAAACAATGGAAGAAAGCCACCATCGCTCTCTTTCGTAAGCCCCTAACCCAGTTAACCCCTAAGTAAATCCCTAAGCCCCTAACCCAGTTAACGCCTAACTAAGTTAATCCCTAAAACCGTAATAGTTAATCAGTTAACCCCGAAACCCCTAACTAGGACACGGTTATACCACAGAACCATAAACCAATTAGCCTACTAGCAACCTTCAGAATTTTTTTTGAACGTATTACTTATAATAAACTTGAAAATCATTTGCACGTGCTCCTCGATGAGCAATATGGTTTCAGAAGGAACTTGATACGACAAAACAAATTACTCGTATTTTAGAATTCATTGGGCAGGGGTTTAGAAATAAGCAAATTTCGGCCTCCATTAATGTTGGACGTAACTAAAGCTTTCAACCGAGTCTGGCATGCTGATATTACAAAGAAATAATAAAATTAAATATCTCAATAGATTTAAAGCGGGTCGTGATAGCCTAGTTGGTAGGGCACTAGGCCCATGTCGAAGGGATCGGGGGTTCTGTCCCCACCGGCTGAAGAATGTAAAGGGAACATGAAGGAATTGTGAATGGATCTTCATATTCCCATAACAAATATACACCTCGGGGGGTACTGGTCCAGGAACTCCCCTGTCTTCTGGATTGGCATCAAAATTACAAGGATGTGGAGTTGAACATTGGTAGTTTGAAACTCAGAATCGGGTCGATTGTTCATCTAAGATTATAAAATGAAAATAAAAAATAGATTCAAAAACGAGCCGTGATGGCTCAGGGGATAGAACGTTCGCCTTCCAATGAGGTGAATCGGGTACGCATCCCAGCGATGATTAGTCGATATAAATCCGCATCCGGTTTGCACCAACCACAGTGTTGACGTGAAGTATCCTCAGTGGTAGACGGATCATGGGTTAGAGTTTCTTTGCCGTCAGGCTAACCGTGGGAGGTTCTCGCGGTCTTTCCCTCCATGTGCCGCAAATGCTGGTAAGTTCCATCAAAAAGTTCTCCACGAAGGCAAATTTCTCCCAATACTTGATCCAGGAGTTCCCCTGTCTTCTGGATTGGGTTCATAAATACAAGGCTACGGAGTTGAACAATAGTAGTCATAAACTCGAAAATTGGGTCCGCTGTTCAACGACGATTATAAAATAAAATAGATTTAATTATATTCTCTTAAATAACTATCTAAAAAACCGATGCTTTAAAATTAGAGAAAACAATATCCTTTCAACCAGTTGAGTAATAAGGCCCGATTTACCCCAATCAATAAGGCCCGATTTACCAAACATCTAACTTACTAGCAGTTAAAAAATCCAGAGGACATACTATTACTAACACCCTAACTTTCTTTGGAAATGAAATACCTATTGTCAATAATATTTAGGCCTCACACTTAATAAAAATCTAAAATGGAATGATCATATTAATAAAATTATTGCTAGAGCCTCCGGGATTTATAATAAATTAAAATGCCTACTGGGTTCATATTCTAAAATATCACTTAAAAATAAACGATATATTTATATTAAGTCAATAATCATATATGCTTCCCCTACTTGGTGCAATATTAATAAAGCCTGAACCAAACTCAATGTATTTCAAAAGAAGTTACAGGCAGAAATGAGTGGTGTCTCCTTATTTTATCAGAAATAAGGACATTCACAGAGATTTTAAGTTAAAATCACCCTCAGAAACATTAATGACACAAGAAACATAATGATAAGAAACATAAATGCATAATTTTTCAAAAAAGCTGCTAACTCAAATCACATTTCTAAGGCCGAAATGTTAATATAAGTTGTAGATCCGCAGTGGTAGACGGATCATGGGTTAGTGTGTCCTTGTCTTCAGGCTAATCGTGGGAGGTTTCCGTGTTTTTCCTCTCCATGTAAAGCAAATGCGGTTTAGTTCCATCAAAAAGTCCTCCGCGAAGGCAAAGTTCTCTCAATACTTGATCCGGGAGAACCTTGTCTTCTGATTGGCTACAGAGTTGAGCAATTGGTAAGCATAACCTTAAAATTGGATAGGCTCTAAACGACAGTTATAAAATAAAATATTTATGCCAAAAGTTTTTAAATCTTTGTGGTAATAAAAGAAATTATATGATTAATTCTTTTTAAATGAGATACAAATTTTATCATATAAATTCAGTTATCACTTTAAACATTTTGTGGAACCTTCAGCTCTTTTAAAAACTTATTTAACATCAGAATTTCTTTTTTTTCCGGGCTACAAACAGCCCCATAAAGGACTGCAAAAACATTAATTTTATTGCATATACATATCCACATATAAAGAGAAAAAAATCATTATTTCCGTCAGTTTTTATAATAGCCATTTTCGCAAGCAAGATGTTGTGTACATATTGATAATTTCTTTATCAACGCGTTAATTTTTTATTTGTTTATTATCTACAAAAAGCGATTATTTATCAGTTAAATATATCACTTTTACGCAAGCACTTTGAAAGGAATTATTTCAGCCAGTTCTTTCTTTACAGAACGCGATAAAGTCAGTTTATGACTAATAGGAATCACTACTATGTAGGATAAAATTAACTTTTTGTTGGGCTAAATTTGGTTGACATTTCGCTATTGCAATACGGTCTGTTAGGATTTTAAATATTCATCAAAATTAGGTAAATATTAATTTTTTTTACTACTTATTAATTTAAATATTAAATCATATGAAATGTTTATATAATGCCTTAGCAAACCATATTTAATTGAATGCATCTACATGAACAAGTTGTCATAACTCGATTATATAGCCTACCATCACTCAACATCAAGCTTATGTGGTAATGTACAACCACTACAAAATATTGATGGAATCATTTTTGACAACCGTTATTGAATAACCATATATGCTAACTATATATAACGTATATATATATACTAACAATTCCACAAATGTAAATTGGTGCCTTAAATATAAATCCCCTTGTATATAATTTTCCCACTCCCCATATTTTTTGTATCATATTAGTGTTTTTTCTACATTATCTCATGCAATGTATTTGTTTATCCAGATGTATTTTCATGATATGTTATATTTAACCACGCTTCTTCTGTATAGTCACTATTTTGGACGCTCATCTCCCATGGGTCTTAAATGTCACTAATCAATATTCTATTATAGTTACATAACGTCTGTTTATATCTGTATCTCTAAATAATTATATAGTAATTAATAAATAATAAATGTAAGGATCCTAACGGGAGCTCTGGCGACGTTGCAGATGCTAGGGTGGGCTTGTGATTAGCGACTGACATCGGGGGAAGCGTGGTATGTCGCCGTTGTAACTGTTTTCCTGGTCACAGTTTTTCTTTCTGATAGATGCCCCCTCCGGGGGCATAGGTGCAGAGCTGTGTGCCGGCGTCCATGTCCATGTGCTACTCATAAAAAAAAATTTAGAAGTTCTGAAACATTTCGAAATCTACTTTACGAATTTTTCGTTAGATTTTACTTTGAATGTAGTAAAGTTTTTAACATTTGTAGTTACAAAATTTGATTTAAAATATTGATTTTAATCCCCATTTCATATAAATAAAATAAACTCATCCCGTACATTTCAAATATTTTGAGAAGTGGTAGACAACAGTAAACAACCCGATGTCTAGTAAATTGGGCAGTGGCAATTCAATAAGAAAATCTCCCATACACACACATGTGACGTATGACGTCAGCGCAAACTAATTTTTATAAACAAAATGGCCTATTAAAGTTGAGCCAAGTTTCTTCAAATAAGTTAGAATGTTAACTAACGATAAGTTAATTAAATACAAACCCATATCGAATTAGTTGAAATATAATTCTTCCTCGCTTACTTTTTTCACTTAACTTAGATTTATTTTCTTATTTGTTTATGTATTCTATTGTAACCATGATATATTTTTGTTCTGTGTGCCTGGCAACTTCGATGCATAATTTGCATGTTTATGTTCCGCATGGCTTCGTTCCTGTCTTTATGTTAAGTCTCTGTGCTAATATATAGGGAAACAATTGAAGTCCTTGAGAAAGAATGTTTGTGAAAGATTTAAGAATGTGCCACATACGAGAATTATTACTTTCCAGGGCTTGGCTCACTCGAAATAGAATGCAAAGAACATTTGCTAACGTGAACAAATGCCACGTTTCAACAATCGGGATCGAGATACCCTCACCACGTCACTTGCCGGCATACCATTTGAAATTTTTTTGAAAAACCTCAAACAGGTAAAAAAAAGTGTCATTTTATCTATCTATCTATCTATCTATCTATCTATCTATCTATCTATATATATATATATATATATATATATATAATATACATATGTTTACATTATTTATGTGTCATGGTACTCAAAACCAATTTAAATCTCATTTACTAATTTACTTAGCCAGGAATTTAAAAAATATATTATACTTTAGTTGCGTTTATATTTTGTCTGAATTTTTTATCTAAAAGTTAATCAATTACATCGAGGAACTAACATTTTGTTGCCTTGATACAAGATTTGGATTTCATTCGGCTATAAGGATTTCAAATCTGGAATTAGCTTTATTCTAAAAGCTACAGATTATTTTTCTGATTTTTTTTTTAGTTATGTTTACATTTTGTCCGAATTTGTTTTTATCTGAAAGTTAATCGATTGCATCTAGGAACTAATATTTTGTTGCCCTTATACAAGACTTTAATTTCTGAAAGTTAATCGATTACATCTAGGAACTAATATTTTGTTTCCCTTATACAAGAATTTGATTTTACTTAATTCGGCTATGGGGATTTCAAATCTGGAAATAGTTTTGCTCTGAAAGCTACAGAATTTTCGTTAGTTACGTTTATATTTTGTCTGAATTTTTTTTTCGGAAAGTTAATCAATTACATCGAGCAAATAATATTTCGTTGACCTTATACAAGAATTTGATTTTACTTTATTCGGCTATGGGGATTTCAAATCTGGAATTAGTTTTGCTCTGAGAGCTAGAGATTTTTCTTTAATTACGTTTATATTTTGGTCTGAATTTTTTTTCTAAAAGTTAATCGATTACATAGAGGAGCTAATATTTTGTTGCTTTTATACAAGAATTTGATTTTACTTAATTCATCTATGGGGATTAAAAATCTGCAATAGCTTTGTTCTAAGAGCAACAGATTATTTTAGTAAAGTTTATTTTTTGTCTGAGTGTACAAGCATCTAATGAACGTATAAGTTTATATTCATACATTCACTGTTGTCTGCTCCTCCACTGAAAAAAACACTAGGACCTTAATATGTCGCATCAAAAGATGAAATGTACTGATCTTCTTTTTATCACTTCCTGTGTATCAGAGAAGTAGGGAATTTTAAAAGTGAATTTTAAAAACTCCTATATAGTAACATATTATTAAATTGCATAAAACCTGTAGCCTGTTGAGAGACACCGATTACAGATTTAAAATCAGCGATGCAAAAATATCTAAGATCCGTTCAAAAATCTCCTACGACAAAAATTTTTTTCTCCAGTTTAACTAATAAAAAGTTTATAGCATCATTTTAAAGTAACGTGTTGACTGGCAGTTACTTGCCCATAACTCTTAATAATTTTTGAAAATATTACCTCTTTGTTCAGAATAATGCTTTACATTTTCTACATCATTGCTTGTTCAGGTTTATTTCTTTCATGTTAACAATACTAACGTTCATGTTACCATTACTAAAAATAAATGTATTTTTCTTAAAATAAAAGGGTTAAATTTGATGAAATGTTCTTAAAGATATTTTTTCTAACTGACTAACAAGAGGCATATATGTTTCCATTAATATCCAATCACAAAAGGTTATCTTTCATGCAAAATTACATTCGGGCATCAATTTTATAGAGTAATATGCTTAGCAGAGTTTGTAACTCTATATGTTACTCATCTAACCAGAGCATTTTCAGTAGAATAGCATGCTCAGCAGTATATGTAAAAATTTTGAGATTTTTCAATAAATGTTGGTTTCGTGCTTAAACGAAATTTAATAGCAATAAAACTTATGGGGCTATTTTTCCTCGATTCTTATACTTTCGTTAGCAATATTACTTTCCATCAGTTTTAAATTAATTCAAGTGTGTGTAGTTTTCAGGACTGCCTGAAGGAAACTGTAATGTGACCAGGCTTAAAAGACAATAATTTCTACATTTGTTCAAGTCCATTTCTAGTAATTTATAACAAACATGTTTCCCCAAAAATGTTAGATCTTTCTTCCACAAATTTCCATTTTAAGTAATTAATTTAAATATGAAATGCGAATCTGTTTTTAAAATATTCTTTCTTTCTTCTTTGATAGTTTCATAATTCATGATGGATTATAAAAACATGGAAATGGCAAATGAAGAGCAAAATTTATTAAAATTGCTAACGCTACCAAATGATGAATTAATTGAACATTTTCTGCAGCTGGAGGATTTCAATCAAGGACATTTTTACAAAAAAGTTTTAAAAGAAATAGAAAATGCTATTAAAACCGATGATGCAGAGCACTATATGAAAGTATCTCGCACCTTAACCTTACTAAGTGATGCGAACATTTTCCCCAATTTGATTCTTTACTTTAATAACGATGAAAACCACTTTAAAAAGACTAATGTGATTATAATGGCTTGCAAACTCAATCGAATAGAATTTTTGAAGCACATATTCTGTAATAATCCTTCAATTATAAGCGATCTTTCGACTAAAGTTGGCAGGACATTTCCTTTACCTACCGATAACGACGAAGAAGGTCACAATGCCTTTTATTATGCGGTGCGCTCAGGAAATACGCAACTTCTAGATATTTTGATGAAGAAGTGGCCACTAGATTATTTTTCATCACACACTGAAGAACTGTGCTCACTGCTATCGAAGATCTTGAATGAGTTGATGCTAAGAAACGTAGATGTGTCAACAGAAATGAAGATGCTTGTAAATAGTTTTCTACTCGACTACTACTTCATAGAAAATCCTCCTTCAGACTCAAATGATTATACTCATGACGATATTCAAGAAAAAGTATCTCTTATTTTGGAGTATAGTGGTAGAATCAAAACAAAGTGCGCCAATAGCGAATCTAAAGACTTGGTGATTTTTTTGGCGAGAGAGGTTGCTCTTAATATATTCACTTTGAAAAAAATGCTGAAATCTACATACGACAGAATTCCTTGGGAAGAGATGGAATACCACCTAATTTCATTCATCAGATACCTGAGCAATCAAGGAAGTTATATCAACTGCTGCGTAACGGAAAATGACTTCGTAAAATATCTTAGCACTTTTTGTGAGTGTCTGATCAATGAAACCAAAGAAATCAAGCATATGGATATGAAGGAATTACGTGAGCTTCCTAACATGAAACGGGTGGATGTGGTTCGCCACATTACTAGTAAATACCCTTCTTTTGAAGAATTCTACCAAAGTTATGATTACATTCGTGATCATGAGTCTCTAAATATTATTAAAAGGTATGTCGATATTGTGACTGGAGTTAACCCTGTAGAAAAAAGCGGAAAAACTGTTATTGTCAGAGCACTACAAGTAATAGGAGAAAACTTGAAAAACACACTCGAGTCGCCTAAACTGTCTTCTGAAACAAATGACATATTGATGTTGTTTATACCAAACAAAACTAATACTATTTTAAAGACTTTGCGGGATTCCTTTTCGCATGGTTTTCCTTTATCAACCTGTCAAGAAATAGAAGAAATGTATGGTTCCGAATTTTACACGTTAGTTCAGAATGATGTGAAATTTCTAAACCATGGCATCACTTCAGTGATCCATAAAATAAAATTTAAAACTGTCAGAACTTTGTTGGAGAGGATTTGCAATTGTGAAGACATGGATACGTTCAAAGACATGTATCGCGTGATCCGGCTGATAAATATTAAGGATGACGTATCAGTCATTTTACCGAGTAATGCTAGCATAAATGCAGTGGAAGAACTTGTATCTGATTTATGTCAAATTATTAAAGTGAAAACACTTTTCGAGCAAAGTGTCTTTTCGAAAATATCAGATATTATAAATTTTGAAAAGAGTAGATTTAAAGATTCCGGTCAAAGTTTCGAGGCGACGCTAGCTTTGTTTACTTTCGCACAAAATCCTGAGTTTAAAGCTAATAGTTTCTCAATTTTAGGGGTACAAAAATTCATTCGACACATTCTTAACAACACAAACCTTCAGATGATGTCAAGAAACTTAACAAGAATTAGAAAATTAACGCATGAAATAGCCAAGAATGCTATCTGCAGGGTAAGTGAGCAAGATTCACTGAAAATGTTTTCTGTAGTTTTCAAGATTTTTCACATTACGGAATGCCAAGGACACGAAATTAAACACCTTCAGAAACTCAAAAAAAGCTATGAGAAAACTGTAAAAATAACTTTCGAGAAAATTAAAAAAGTCAAAACGTCACCATCCACTTGCTATCAAGATATCCTATCTGATGATATTACATCTTTGAAAAAAATTGTGGATGAGTATAATTTCTCTGAAAATCTTCAGTCTTTTTTTATCTATAAAAACAACTTAAAAGTGCAAGCAGAAGTTGAAATGCTTATATTATCTATTTTATCCAGCTTAGAGCATTCTAATCTTTATTTAATAACGAGTCAGCTATCTAACGAAGCTGGTCCTCTATTAATTGGCAGATATCTTAGGAATTATCTAGCACACGGAAATCCTCTGGTGGACATTTTAAAGGATACATGTCAGTTTATATATTTATATGCTTTGAAGATTATCAAACATGATATTTATCGAAAAGAGAATTTAGAGATCACTTGCATGAAGAATAAATCGAGTGCTATCTCTATTGTAGAAAATCAAGAAAGACTTTTCGATGCTTTGTCTGGCTGCTCCTTAGAGAACGTGATACAAGCGATAAGAGAAGGTGCTGATATGTACGGAAGAGATATTAACTTGATGACAACATTACATTTTGCTGCGAAATCTACGAACTTTGATGTAATGAAGTATTTAGTTAACCACGGTTTGAATCCGATGGTAAAAGACTTTTTTGGAAGAAATTTGCTCCATGTAGCAGCAGAAGCAGGATGCAAAAATATAGTTGATTATATTATAGAAGAATTACATATATCAGTTGATGAAAAGTGCGGGCGAAATCATACCGCTCTCTATATAGCAGCCGAAAACGGTTTAGTTGATATCGTGATAACTTTACTTCGACACAATGCCGCAGTCAAGGTAGGCCCATTTAATGAGACGCCAATATACGCAGCTGTTATCAATAATGAGGTGAAGGTCATTGAGTTATTTTTTCAAACAATTAAAGATATCTATTCAATCCAACTCGTGCAGGGGTTTACTTTACTTCATTTTGCAGCTGAAATGGGCCTCTTAGACATGGTTCTTTGTTTCCTCGATAAAGGAGCTGATGTTAACTCCGTGTCGGATGAGTTGGTCACACCATTGCACAGATCTGCTTCAGCTGGTCATTCTGATATGGTCTCAACATTGATTTCGAAAAAAGCAAACGTAAATGCTAAAGATTCATTTAATCGAACTCCGCTTCATTACGCTGCTCTAAGTGGACAGTCAAATACTGTTGAAGTTTTGCTAAACCATGGTGCAGATCTGGAAGCTTTAGACAATAAAGGACATTTACCTTTGCAATCAGCAATTATAAATGGAAGTATTGAAGTAATAAAAACTATTACGAAACATGGTGCAAGTATTGAAGATGTTGCAGCAAAGGATTTCTTAATCCTTGAGTATGCCATGCTTCATAATAATTTAGAGCTTATTAACTTTGTAATTGATAATGAAGCACCAATTAATGTAAGGAATGAAAGTGGCAGCACTCCTCTTCATCGAAGCATACAAAATGGTTTAATAGATATTTCGTTGAAATTAATTGAATGCGGAGCCGAGATTAATGTGGTAAAAAACGGTTTGACACCTTTGAGCCTTTCCATCGGACTAGGATATTTTGGGATAGCTGACAAACTCTTATCCAAAGAAGCCGATATTTATATTGTTGATAAAAGAGGAGACACTTTATTGCATAAGTGTGCTTCAATTTCAGATATTTGTAATTTCCTGTTCAACGATTATGAAAAAAATAACAAAGAGAAATATAATGAACTAGTTTCTAATTCGAACGGACTTGACATATTTGATAGACTTGTGAAAATGGGAGCTGATATTGAAAAAGAAAACAAAAATGGCCATACACCTTTGCACGTTGCATGCTTATTCGGAAATATACCTATTGTGCAATATTTGATCAAAAATTCTGCAGACCCAAACATGGTTGATAAAATTAGGTTTTCGCCTTTGCACTTCGCTACTTACGGTAATCATCTTGAAGTTGTGAAGATCATTTTAGAAAGTAGAAAATGTTCTTTAAATTCTAAGACTTTTGAGGGCGATACTGCATTGTGCATAGCTTCAAGCAACAATTACACTGATATGACTAAGGTGTTGATCAAAAATGGTGCTGATGTAAATGATGGTGACCCACTCTTTAAGGCTCTCATGCAGGGACATCAGGATATATGTGTAATTCTTCTCCAAAATAAATCGACTGATATCGAAAGGCAGTTTAAAGATAAAAGTGGAAAGTTTCTTCAAATCGCATCAATTAAGGGTCTGGAACGAGTCGTGTCAAGCTTTTTAGAAAAAAAGAAATTTTCGAAATCAGTTGACATGAACGAATGTTTGCTTTTTGCAATTCAGTGGGCTTCGGAAGACATTGTTACTCTTTTTTTAAATCATGGAGCTGATATGAACTTTGCCTTTGAAAATCAAAAAACCCCTTTGCACTTAGCAGTAGAGCGAGACCATTCCAAAATCATAAAAGTATTGTTAGAAAGGGGTGCAGATTTTAACAAGCTGAATTCAATTGACCTAAGACCCATTGAGGTAGCTGTAGGGCATGGTCATTTGGAATCAGTAAAAGCATTTTTTCAAAATATAACGGTAGACGTAAACGAAAAAGGAAACTGTGATCATACTTTGATACATATTGCTGCAACATGGGGACACCTAGACATAACGAAATTTCTAATTAGCAATAACGCCGCATTAAATATTGGTGACAAATTTGGTTCAAAACCCATACACCTAGCAGCCCAATTTGGACATTTACATATTGTTAAATACTTCCTTCAGTGCGATCCAAAATTATTAACAGATCGTGGGGGTTCAAACAACAGTTCTCCTCTTCACTTTGCAGCCCATGGAGGCCATGCAGAAATCGCAAAATATTTAATAGAGAAAGGAATGGATGTAAATGCACCTAGTGATCATGGAATTAGACCCATTCATGTAGCTTCACAATTTGGACGTGAGGAAGTACTCAATGTTCTGCTGAACTATGGTGCTATGTATGACAGCATTCTTGATAGAGTTCCTTCAACACCATTACTTCTAACTCATAATGAAAATATTAAAAAAACATTAATGATGATAAAAGAACTTTTTCACGCAGTTAAAAGCAATAACATTTCAGACGTAAAATCTCTCATTGATAAGGGAGCTTGCATGAATGCAAAGGACTCAAAAAATTCTACAGTTTTGCATTATGCTGCATGGAAAGGTTATGCAGAAGTTACTCAACTTCTATTGGAAAACAAAGCGAATCCTAACGTATTTGCGAAGGGAAATGCCACACCCCTTCATTATGCGTCAAAGTATGGAAAATACGAGGTAGCAAAAGTTCTTCTAGAAAATGGTGCTATTTACAATGCGATGTCAACTGACGGAAAGGCTCCTGTTGATCTAGCCTCAAACAAAAGTATTATTGATTTGTTAGAACTAATCGATAGTGCTTTCAGAGATGTACAAAACTGTAATATTCAGATTTTAGAAACTCTAGAAAAATTCAGAAATTCTGATGTTTTGAAATCGGTGGTTTGTGCAAAGAACATTGAAGGAAAAAATTTGATGATTTGTGCTTTTCAGCATAAGTTTTCTAAATTGGATCATCTCACGCGTATATTTTCAGGTGACCCTCAAACTAGAAATGAAATTTTTAATTACATTTTTGTGAAAGAAGATTGCGTTGCCGCTTCAGATATGCAAGCAAATTTGCTGCAGAAAAATTCGCAACTTTTCGGCTCCGACAATCCTGTTACGTTAGAAACCGAAGAAATGTCAGCATTCATATTGTTCAAACAGAAAAAATATGAACAAGCCCTTGATATTTTCCAGGCTATATTTCAAAAGAAGAAAGAGATGCTTGGACCAAGCAACAGTCGAACTTTGAACACGCAGTTTTTTGTCGCGCATATGCTCCAATGCTTAGGTAGAAATCTTGAAGCAATCGAGATTTTTGATGACCTTTACTCACGACTGAATGAATTACGCGGATTAAGTAATATTGAGACATTGATCACAATATTGCATTCGGCAGAAGTTTTGTGCGACCTTGGACTGCATGAAGACGCCCTGAAAAGAAACGACGTAGTGTTCGCAAAGTTTTATGAAACACTCGGTGCAGACAACGCTCTGACCATACAATCTCTAGATAGCCGCGGAAATATTTTAAGTCACTTGAGTGCGTACGATGACGCTCTGGCTTGCTACAAATGTGTTTACAATCACAATAATAAATTATCAGGGCCTTCAAGTTCCGAAACTTTGAAGTCGCTTCAAAATATAAAACATGTACTATGCCTTCAAAATTTAACTGATGAAAATCTCGAAGGTCTACGAGAAGTTTTTGACACTCAGAAAAATGTCTTAGGTCTTGAGCACTTGGACACTTTAAAAACGGAAAGAAATTTAGGAGAGTTGTTATTCAGAAGAGGTAAATTTAGAGAGGGTTTTGAAATGTCAAAAGAAAATCTTGAGAAACAAAAAGTTGCCTTGGGACACAAACATTCAACAGTTTTAAGATTGGAAAAACTTGTAGAAAGAATGAAATATGTCGTTGATATGTTGGACATTCAAAATTCGTCCAATTTGAACAATAAAACTAGTGAAACTCCGTCATCATATGAATCGCTTATACGAGATCAGTTCCAACATAAGACCATAGATCGTGAAGGCAGAACATTTCTTCATGTTGCTGCGAGTGAAGGTCTTACAGCTTTTGTGAGCGATCAGTTACAGATTGGATGCAACGTCATGCACACCAAGCAAAAAGGAAATACGGCTTTGCACATTGCCTCGGTCAAGGGTCATGCTGAAATTGTTGAATTACTTCTGGTGCATGTCAAAGAAAATAACTGTGATGAATTGAATACCTTTATAAATGCTAAGACAAAGAACGGTGGTAATTCTGCACTGCACGCAGCTGCCAATGTCGAAACTGCTAAGACTTTGCTGAAGTACGGGGCCATTTATAATATCAGAAATAAGGACGGTAAAACACCAAAAGAGTACACTTCAGTCAAAGAAATTTCTGATTTTCTAGAAATTATTGAGGAATTTTTCATTGGCGCTTTGATTGGTGACAGCAAAATAATATGCACATTCCAGAACCTAAGATTGGAGGAAAAAATGGCAGTTTCAAATGCGAGAAATGAACTAAATCACACAATGAAGCAAGTTGGTTTGAAATATGGACACAAAAACATTATTGATAGCATTGAACTTGATGTTTGAAATTCTATAATTTAAAAATTTGGTTTTTTAGTGTAAAATATTATAATACCACTTTGAATGCTATATTAATTTAAAAGAAGGAATATTATAAAACGGACCTTTTCAAACTGAACATCAGTAAGGTTCAACCAGGATTAAAAAATATTATGATGATACATTTAATCTAATAGTGTTATTTAAAGTATAGAAAAAGTTGATTAAATTTTGTATTTGTGAAATTTTATTTTATCAAGTTTTTGTGAAGTGAAAATATCTTGTTAAAATGTGTTAAATAATTATATGCGTAAGTTTCCAAGTAGGCGTGTTACCCTAGCTGCCTACTTCTCCGGTTTCCTTTTCCTGGAAATAGTGACATAACCAAGAATTATGTATTGACGTCTATAGACAGAACCATTTAATATTGTCTATCCTTAAAAAAATCATTTAGTGATTCTTAATTGCTTAAATGCGGAATTTGTTATTTTACTACCACTTTAATTATTGTATGAAGTTAAAATATATTTCAATATTTTTTTAAAAGCTTAAAAACTGCTTGAAATATTTCTTTACATATATCACTTGAAAATTTAAGATACAAAAGCGGGAATTTTCCAACTAGATACAGTTATTAAACGTGGTGGTGAATATGGTTTTGATGAAATACATCTTATACATTTTTCAGCACTCTTTAAGTTTTTTAAAAAACGTACGAGCTTTGTCAGAGGTAACAACAACGCCACAAGAGTAATATATTAAAACGACTGCCTAATTTTTATATTTGCTAGTCATATGGTTTTTGGGGGCCTTACCTCTCCATGATGTATTACTTTGTAACAATTTTATCAAAATATGGTTTATTTATGGTGTATTTGATGCATTAAAATTAAAAACATTTTTTTATGAAAATTTATGTTTTGCGATTAAATTTTTATTTAAAGAGTGGCTCTTGAATTTTAATTCTTTTGATTCCTATTTAAAAGGGGTAAAGCATTTCTTAACACATAGAGTGTTCTTCGCTCTATGCACGATCATGGGATACCAAGTTTGGGTATCTCGATCTTGATTAATTGTAGAAACGTGCATTTGCTTACATTAGCAACTGTTCTATCCATTCTATTTTGAGTAAGCAATTTTCTTTGAGTATCAATTCTCTTAAATAACGCACTCTATATTATTTCACAAAGATTTCAACTGCGTCATTACACATTTCTTATATAAACACAAAAGCAAATACGAAGTCATGTAGAACATAAACAAACTAATTATTCATCGAAGTCAGTACACAATAACCAATTCACAATAGCAGTAATACTAATTATCAAAATTAATAAAACATCACTTGCGTTAATAATAGCTTAGCATTTTTTGTGCTTTTCACACAAGATATTAGTAACTTTTGTTTTGCTTTTTAGTAAATTAATTATTTTTTCTTTTTCAATTATCGTTGATTTTAAATTATATAATTTTATAAAAACACCTTTTAGGTAAACCGCATTACCTGTAAAGAGTCATGTCTTGAAATATGTGTAACAGTTAAATGTAACCAATTTTGTTATATACTTATTTTGACTAAAAGACATGCTTTTTCTAACGTTAACAAACCTTTTTCTTCAACGAATTCTGATTTATATTCTCCTTAATTGAAAAACTTAAATTATTATTTCATTAGTACTATAAATATATACGTTGTGGAGAGTCAATAATTCAGACCATACAACTATGTGTAAAAAACACTTTATTAAAATGTTGTTTATTTTTGTTTTTACTGTAAATTTTGTTAAAATATGAAAGTACAAAATTATAAATGCGTGATATAATTATAATAAATGATAAAATAGTTCTGTGAAGATGCAAAAATGATGAAAAAAAATATTGTTTATGCTTTAAGAAATGTTGATTGGAAAATGAATTAAAAAGCTTAATTGTTGAATCCAAAAGCATTTACCAAATATTACGTTCAGGAAATTATGTACGATAATTAAATGACATATCATGAGGCGATAGTTCAGTGAAATGATTCCAATAGTTTAACGTAATCCCAGTTGCCACTCTAACGTTTCAGCTCAGAGCAATCTATTTCGATGTTAAAACTTTCCTACTTCCTAAATCTAACCCACTAATGATCAGCAAAAAAAATTAAAAAAACTATACACTATACATATAAAAACTACCCACTCGAAAAAAGTAATAGCACATATTTGCTTAAACCGTGTGGGTATTTCTTTCCGTTACTTAGCATTTTAGCTTTAATACTATTTACATTAAAATAAGCATTGAGCTTTGACACCAAATCAAAACATCTATAACATCATATGGTAAACAGAACTACCTTGTTTCTGCAAAATAAATCCTAATAATGAAACATTCCTGTCACCACTTTCATCTTTTTGTTAAACGAAGCCGTCGTCCCACAAAGACGCTAGACACATGTGTATAAAAGTGAACTTCAAAACTTCAGAATTTTTAAGTCTCCCGAATCATTTGTACCTTTTTTTGGAAATTTTACTAGAAGTGCCCGATGGTATTATCATAACAAAAATGGCCTTAACCCCTTCCCTCTCACTCCCGTCGAAATCACAGTGTGAGCAGTCGTCTCCTATTTCTCGTGCCCATGATATTCCCGGGCTAGAGTGTTCAAAAGTAAAGCCTCAAAAAGTTTTAAATATATTCATATCTTGTACCCGGAACTTTTTATTTCACATTTTACCCGCTAGATGGCAGCACCAAACTATTTGTAATGTAACTGCAGATAGTTAGCTTATTTCAAACTAGATGTCAGCAGCATCTAAATATATGTATTTGTGATCTGTATTTCGTACTCTTAGCTCAGCTACTTATGTTTTTTTTTTTTATTACCAGTGGTTTGCGTTCTGTGATAAAATAATTCAATATTGTGTACATTTTGGAGTGAGAGTTAAATGGACATACGGAGTTTTAAATTATTTCAAGCTAAAAAAATTTCAAAAATCAAAAATGAATACATATATTATACATACACCTTTTCCATATAATTTTCTTGAAATTAAAAACAAAGTATTTTTGCGACCGTTATCTTAAAATTAATATCATCGTTAAGGTGTTAACTTAAATAAGTGTTTGAAATTTACTTTCCAAAAAAAATTTTACTTATTGACTTAAGCTCAAATTTTAAGAATAATATTCTTTACTAAAGAATATCTTCTTAATTATAACCGTAAAAAAATTATAAATAAAAAAAATTTTTTTTTAAAAATTGGAGAAAATTTTTTTTGCAGTAAAAACAAATTGTGACATTAGTGGAGGAAAGAATTCTTCAAAGTGAAAGTAGAATAAGAGAAATGATATCTATTGTCTTATCTGCACTTAAATTCAAGTGATAGGCAAACACATGATATCCATGCATTAATCATTATTTAAGATAAGAAAGTTTCCAAAATTAACTTCTAAAGATACTTTCACATTGAATAATTTTTAACGTTTTTTTGCTACACGAATCGACAGCCTAATTTCGGGTTTTATTAATCTTCATTTTTCTCTTATTACTACCAATTTCCATAGGCGAAGGTCGAGTGATATTTTAGGACGACACACTGCTTTTTTTCTGCTAGAAAATAGCTCTAGAATTTTAAAAAATTGAAAATTATATATTAAAAGTATCAAGAAGAATTAATTTTCCTTAAATAAAAAAAACTTATGGGGATTAAGAAAAGGCATATTTTTTTTTTTAAATTCAGATGTTTTAGAAAGATGATTGAGGGAGTGCTCGTGCATAACCCCCTCCTTGACATCTATGTGTTTCTTCTACCTTATGCTTCTGATTAAACAATACGTCCATTGTTTGCTATAGTAAATACTAATTCAAATATTCTGAGTTTCCATTTAAAAAAAGAAATAATCATAATAAAAAAAACCTTAATGAGATGTATTTCACTTTTTATTTTAGTTCAGAGACAGAAAAAAGGCCAAAAGTGTCCGCGATTTTGAATTGTATTGCAAAGAATGCAATAATTTTTAAAGAAAAAAAAGTTCGTTCTCAATTGTTGTAGTAAATCCAAGTATTTTAAAAATTACACAGCTTCACGCATTTTTTTAATATCGTGGTTTTTCATTGAAGATTTCTGGATTGCATCAGAAGGACTTCAAATAAGAAGATAATTGCAGAACTGAGTGTATAAACTAGGTAATCCAGATCCAGAAACTGAACACTTAAGACATATTTCGGTCCCAATTCATTATGAACTTTTTAGCGTTTAGAGGATCCGGATTCTTTAAAAAGTTCTGAATCGTTGTTTTTTGTTAAAGATTTCTGGATTGTATTCTTAATNCACTTTTTATTTTAGTTCAGAGACAGAAAAAAGGCCAAAAGTGTCCGCGATTTTGAATTGTATTGCAAAGAATGCCATAATTTTTAAAGAAAAAAAGTTCGTTCTCAATTGTAGTGGTAATTGCAATTATTTTAAAAATTACAATGCTTCACGCGTTTTTTAATATCGTGGTTTTTCGTTGAAGATTTCTGGATTGTATTCTTAATGACTTCAAATAAGAAGATAATTGAAGAACTGAGTGTATAAACCAGGTAATCCAAATCCAGAAACTAGGCACTAGAGACATATTTCGGTCCCCATTCATCATGAACTTTTTAGCTTTTAGAAGATCCTGATTCTTTAAAGAGCTCAGGATCGTAGTTTTCCGCTAAAGATTTCTGGATTGTATTCTCAATGACTTCAAATAAGATGATTGAAGAACTGAGTGTATAAACCAGGTAATCCAGATCCAGAAACTGGACATTTAAGAGATATCTCGGTTCCCATTCATCATGAACTTTTTAGCTTTTAGAAGATCCTGATTCCTTAAAGAGTTTTGGATCGTTGTTTTTTATGTTAAAGATTTCTGGATTGTATTCTCAATGACTTCAAATAAGATGATTGAAGAACTGAGTGTATAAGCCAGGTAATCCAGATCCAGAAACTGGGCATTTAAGAGATATTTCGGTTCCCATTCATCATGAACTTTTTACCGTTTAGAAGATCCGGATTCTTTAAAGAGCTCAGGATCGTAGTTTTCCGCTAAAGATTTCTGGATTGTATTCTCAATGACTTCAAATAAGATGNATTCATTATGAACTTTTTAGCGTTTAGAAGATCCGGATTCTTTAAAAATTTCTGGATTGTATTCTCAATGACTTCAAATAAGAAGATAATTGAAGAACTGAGTGTATAAATCAGGTAATTCAGATCGAGAAACTGGGACATATTTCGGTCCCCATTCATCATGAACTTTTTAGCGTTTAGACGCGTTAGGTGGTTGGAACACAAAAGAGTAGAAAAGAGACATTTTGCCACCATATACAAAAAAGAGGTTTTTGCTGTTTTACATCTAGGAGAGAGTTGTATCGTCGCATAAGTGGGCTGCTGTGTCTTATTCTGATGCCCTCTGGTAACACAGCAAGAAATAAAAAGTTATAAAAGAAGTTCGCATTTAATTTTGTTTTATGCTGGTGTGAAGATAATCAATTTTTAGATAGCAAGGATGCACATTATCTATCAGACTTTATTTAATTTTCGTAGTATCTTATTTTCTCATTTTGCCAAATTATCAACCATAGTGAGTGATATATTGCACCCGGTAGGCGACACGCGTGTTAGTATCATGGTTGTCTTATCATGGATAGTTGAAAAAGAGGAGAAGAAGTTATTATAAATATTATGAATACTGCAATATTTATGTTAGAATGCTTTTTTTATTATACAGGGTGTCTCAGCTAAACGTTTCAGAACTCCTAAGAGGGGTAGAGTGCATCCAGACGACTCGAAATCATATAGCAATGCGGGGTCGGAAATGCTTTCCAGAGGCGGTAGATGGCGTTGTACGTAAGTTCCGAGCTTTCCAGTGCGTTGGCCTCTTCGGTCACCCGACCTATCATGTCTTGCTTTTTATTTCTGCGGTCATATGAAAGCGCTGGTTCATGGCACCCCTGTTGACAATGCTGAGGAGCTGGTTGTAAGAATTGAAGTAGCTGCGGAGAAATTCGAGATATGCTTGGAATATTGTTGCATGTTCGGATGTTCATGCGCCGGTGATGTGAGGTGCGCATTGAAGCCGGTGGCAGAAACTTCGAACGCTTACTTTGATCCATGTACCTTATGCTTATTTCAATGTATTATTAAAAAGATTTTTCACTTACGGTCTCTTTTCTTTTTGGTGCTTCTGTGTACATTACCGCTTCAGGAAAGCATTTCGGATCCCGCATTGCTACATGATTTCGAGTCGTCAGGATGCACTCTACCACTCTTATGAATTTTGAAACGCTTAACTGAGGCACCCCGTATATAATAATTGTTGAGAAACGAAAGAAGCTTTTAACTTCCTATTATCATTTTGGTCGAAGCAAATTTTGCATGGGTAAAAAAGACTCCAACGATCTTTGAAATTGTGTCAACAGTTTTGCCAGGCAAAATCTTCTGAAACATTTGAAGCTAAAAGTGAAATTGCTTACATAGAATTAGTATCAAAATTTTGCTATATTTTTTTCCAATCCCTGTAGAGTTTGGGCTGCCTATTTGTTATTACTTTAATAAAATCATCAGTATCAATCATTAGTACGAATGTATTCGAAAGTATCATCTAATTTGGAACAGAGAGAGTAATAAAATATTACTACTTTTTGAAATAAAACTCTTTTATATAATTTTTATTGTTGATAATGAAAATGCGGTTCATAGCAAATTTCCTCAGAAAGTGGTAAATACAGTTACTCCAAAAAATGACCAGTTTAAAATATCAAATGGAAATAATTTTTTTTTTAAATTTTCATAGGGCTGCCATCTTTGTACACTTATTGCTAAAATTTATTCTAGTATTAACTAAGTTTATGTTTTAATGTATTATTTTTAATTTATTTAATCTTATTTTTCTCACCACTAAATACAAATGATTTAAAAGTTCATATGCAACGTCACTTTGTTCCAGCTCTTTCATGGTGAAGCTTTTTAAATGTTGGCAAAATTGCCAAATATTCGGAGAGCTTTGGTTTTTAAATGTCTACCTCTCTGTAAAATATTTTACAAAAAGAGTAGTATACGAAAGAGTAGTACAAAAGAGTAGTAGTTCACAGGATTGTATACATAGGTTTTTTATATGCCTGGTATATTTGTTTTTACATGTATGATATAGTTTGTCTAGGAATAACTCCTATAGTTTGTCTAGGAATAACTCCTAAGAACTCCTCTAGCCCTTCGTTGATCCATGGTGGTAACTATGGTAACGAGGTATAACTATTTCATGTAGGGGTGTGGGGTCATTGTTTAGGACAGGTTTTGGCTCGTATCGACGAGAGAAAGGGAGTATTTTTCTTTGGTCTACTGTGTTAATCTCAAGAGTGAATGGGAAAAGCGCTATTCTTCTCACTGAAGTGAGCTATTCTTGTTTCCATAGCAACAGACGACCTCAGACTTAGTGACAAGGGGAGTTCTTCCCCTCAACAAACTATACACAGTATAACAATATACATTAAAATTGACTTATAAGCAACGATTTCAAATCTCTATGAATGTTATTTCACAGTTGTGGAAAGTTATTTAACGCGTTCACGCTAGATTGTCTCCTCTTGGCAGCGCACCGGAGTAAAAACTGGCAACAATAGATTTCATTTTTTAGTTTTTTTCCGGGAATAATAAAAATCCATAATTACCAATTGTTTTTAACGGATGCAATTTTTATATTGAATTGCTTCTTCGCCGTGATAAATTTCCTTACAGTGAATTGTTATTGTTGAGAATAGATTAACTCCTCCCGAATATTATCTAATATTGAAATAGTTCTTCTACCGATATTTTCTCTTTTCCCGTACCAGTATTTTCACTTTTCCCGGCGTGAACGTGTTAAAATGTTTCTGACCCCTTCCTTTTCTTTCTTCCTCGAAATAAGTAAATAAATAAAATAAAGATAGAACAACAAAGAATGGGTTTAGAATTACTCAGAAAAAAAAAAGAAATAATGAAATAATCAGTTATGAGAAGGTTCAACTCTTTATAGTATCGCAAACATCCTTATCGCAAGCAAGATAAGATAAGTATTGGTGCTTCATTACCTAAGGAAATAAAAATATCTATCATTTGAAGTTTTAACTTCTTGAAAACTCTTCACTTCTTATTTTGTTGTTGAATGTGAGTTCATTTGATTTGGTATTTTATACAAGGACAGTTTTCATGCGTATTAAAATTATGTGAGGTAAGATAAATGTTTTGTCATAGATTTGTAATGAAAATTTATTGTTCTTTTTCATAAACTGTATTTGTTGTCGTCAACTTCCCATTCTCCCATCCTAAGTGAATTAACAATAACCTACTGCAGCAAACTCAATTTTTTTCGCTCTATAAAATTTACAATAGTTAAGTGTAATTAAAAATATTTCTTTAAATTTATAGATGGTTATCAAATTCAAATTTATATCTAGTTTTCTACAAACTGTTTTTAGTTATTTTTTTAATTATTGTAAACAAATTGTTGTGGTTTTTTTTTCAATTCATGCTTACACGTTTAAAATGTATTATAATGAATACTGAGCAGCCACCGGTGGTTGACGCAGCCTAAATGTAATTTCAGTGTCAGCCAACGCGGGCTAAATGTAATTTCAGTGTCAGCCGCCGATGGCTGAGGCGGTGCTCAACGTGTTAATAACAACATTATTATATGAATTGTAGAAATTATGCAAAACTATTGCACAATAACCTGCGGATAGCCGCGTTGGAGTTCGGTTCACTGGTTGTTGCACCTATATTGCTTTTATTATCTTTCAATATTACTGTTTGTGTCCTCGAAATACTAGATTATATGCCTAGTCATATTATTATTTTATGTTTTGAGTCATGTCAAATCGGATTTTATATTTTGAGTCATTGAGAGCCCACCAGGGATAGTATTGTGTAAACAGAGCAATTCTAAGTAGCTTTAAAGATTTAGTGTTTACATTAATTGAAACAGCATATTAAAGCATTGGCGGAAAAGGTTAATTTAACAGAATTGATTTTGCTTTTCCTGTAATTTCAACATAACTAATCCACATTAGTTTTAAGTATACTTGCATGGCTTTTTTCGATACCTTTTTCGATATTTTGGCACCTTTTTTCGATATTGTGGTCACCCTGCTATTTATACTTAAAAAATAATGGTAAAAATGAGACGTTCTTTACTACTAATATCTTGTTTGTTTGTTTGTTTTCGAAAATTAGTGGCTTTGGGACTGTTAGAAATTTGTTATTCAATGAATTGAACTAACTTTATTATTTCATTTTTGATACTTCTCATGGATAAACCACATATTTTTGTTTTTAAAAAAGTATTAATGGTAGAAATACATCTTTTTTAAAACTGAAATAATTGAGTCAAAGCTTCTCATTTTTAGTACGGGGTAACAAGTTAATCGATTACATCGGGGAACAAATTCTTTGTTGCATTTATGCGAGCATATGACCATATCTAATTCAAATCTGAAATTAGTTTTGTTCCAAAGGCTACTGATTTTCTTTTTAAAATGATGTTTTTAATTTAGTTTATTTTTATCTGAATGCACAAGTTATATAAAGAGTATATAAGTTCAAATACATGCACATACATTTATCCTACCACTCCCTACGTAGCAGAGAAGTGGTAACGCTTAGTATTCACTTGAGTGAATTTTAGAATGTTTGGTGAGGAATATCTTATTAAATTGCATTGAAACTGTAGGTTGTAGACTTAAAATCAGCAAAGTGAAAGATCTAAGATCCGTAGGAAAATCTCAGGTGACGAAAAATAACATAAAAAAATAACTGTTTCCCTGTGTTGCTTATTTAAAAAATTAAAAAACTTGAATAAAAGGTGGTCCCAATCAGGAAAAGTTTAAAAAGTCGGGAGAAATGTTTCATGACTTTATCATAAATTAATATTTGCATATCGTAAATTCATATTTTCAATTGTTTGTATAGCCGTCAACTTTAGTTATCCACCCTCAAACAGAAAAACGAAATTGGTTGAAAAATAAATATAATTAGCAAAGATTTCTAGCTTTCTTCCAGATTTCTTACAGTAAATTGCTGTTAAAATTTAAACTTGATAACAATTGTTTTTAATAATTATAAATGATTTTTTTTAATTGGTCATATGATTATAAATAGTTTCTTTTTTTTCAATCAAAATTTAATTCATTTTCAATTTAATGGTAGTTAGTTACCACCATCGCTCAGTAGTTTGAGAACTGAACTGTCATTGTGAAGAACTGAGGTTTGATCCCCGGGGACGGCTTGAAGCCCACCCAATGGGTACCAACTTATCTAGGTAGTAAAAACGGCCTGTGTGCAGTGCTTACTACATTACCACAATCATACCGTTGGTCTCAAAATTGTAAAGCCTTAACCTTTATTACCCCCTCGCCCACATCGGGCTGCTGCGGAAATCCTTTAATAATTTTTTGGGGGGTTACCCACTCACAAGTAAACAAAATTATAGGAATAGATCACTTGAAGAGGTTTTTATCATCTTGTTAAGTGCCAGATTTTTCCAAGGACCATGAGCGGTGTGAAAAAGTCCTGAATTAAAACAACACGGCATTTAAAAATTTACTTAAAATGTACAGTTTCAACAATCTATTAATACCACATGCTTAAAGTTGTGTTGCAATCACTTTAGATGCGGCGATATCTTTATAAGGCCGTGTTAAGTATAGTTCCCACCAACCTCATCAGTTTCAAAATGTCAATAAGATATTTTCTCGCCTTCAATTTATGCTGCCATCTGCTGATAACTTCATACTATACAAAAATAAGAAAAACAGTACATAACATTTGTTACATACTGTTTATGCACCGTTATGCAAACTTTGTTTACATAAATGTGGGTAACAATATGGGTTAGCCAGGAATCAAGAAGAGCTGTCAACATGGGGAGCCATTTTCTCTTGACATCAATCTTTGATCATATCTCATCGAGTTTGTTTGTAGTTATAAACACCGAATTTGCAAATTCGGTTATTTATAAGAGAACACGTTCAAGAAGTTTGTGGTCAATTCTTTACAGTAGGTAAAATTTAGAAAATTCCACCAGTTCTTCAAGTTTATGGTCAGTTCCTTACAGCAAACTCCCCCTGTTCTCCCCCTGAAAAAAGCTGATCAAATATTAAATTAATATTCGATAATAAGCCTAAATTACTTTGTTCCTATAAATCAATCTAAAGCCTAAAAATATTTTAACAAAATGAAACTAAAAATAAGTGTTCGTAACTTACCGTAAACTCATTCACGAATGCAAAAAAAGGACATATACACTGAGTGGCCAAATTATTATGACAACCTCAGAGTTTTATGCAAATGAGTTATTGCGTCACAGCGCTGCCGCTAGAGGGCAAGATAACTATAACACGGGAATGCTGGACAAATGAGTCATCAGTTATATTGTATTGCTTGCTCAGATATGGGAAAGAAAAGTGATTTAACTGAATTTCAACGTGGAATGATTGTGGGTGCGAGATGTGTCGGAACGAGTATCAGCAAAACGGCTGCACTTGTGAAGTGTTCTAGAGCAGCAGTTGTTAATGTGTACAAAGAATGGACAATCAAGCAAAAAACCGGGTCTCAACGTCAGACTTGTGGTCGTCACAGGGTACTGAATGCTCGATCAGAGAGAAGGCTGGCCAGGGTTGTGCAGC